ACAGGTGATATCATGCCACCCAGCCAAAAGGAGAGAATGTAATGGGAATTTTCTAATGTAGACAGGGTATATTTTCATAAAACCTAATTATCTCAATTGCTACTGAGACTCTTGCCAGATTGACAGCAGACATTTGACACATCTATGACTTGCTGACCATTTCATTTTCTGGAAGATAGAAGCGATATGGGATCCTGCCACTCTGGGCCTAATTCTGAGCGGAATCATGAAGTGTAAATCACAGGAACTTGGAAAGAAGCAGCAATATCTCTTTCTTCAGGCTGGCTGGGAGGTCAAGACAAAGCCAATAAATGCATATGTAGTTTGAAGAAGGCTAGACTTGTAAGCACAAGAAAAAGAAGGCCGTTCTTTTCTTTTCTTTTTTTTTTTAATTACAGTTGACATTCAATATTATATTTCCAGTGTACAGCATAGTGTTTAGACAGTTACATAATATACAAAGTGATCCCCCTGATCATTCAAGTATCCACCTGGCACCATACATAGTTATTACAATATTATTGACTATAGTCCCTCCACTGTACTTGACATCCCTGTGACTGTTTTGTAATGACTAATTTGTTCTTAATCCCTTCACCTTTTTCACCCAGTTCCCCAGTCACCTCCCTTCTGGCAGCCATCAGTTTGTTCACTGCCTCTATGAGTCTGTTCTGTTTGTTTATTTTGTTCTTTAGATTGCACATATAAGTGAAATCACATGGTATTTGTCTTTCTCTGTCTGGCTTATTGCACTTAGCATAATACCCTCAAGGTCCATCCATGTTGTCGCAAATGGTAAGATTTCGTTCTTTTTTATAGCCAAGTAATATTCCAATGTATGTATATACCACAGTGGTTTTATCCACTCATTTATTGATGGCACTTGTGTCGCTTCCGTAGCTTGGCTATTGTAAATAATGTTGCAGTGAATGTAAGGGTGTGTATATCTTTTCAAATTAGTATTTTGGGCTTCTTTGGCTATATACCCAAAAGTGGAATTGCTGGGTCATAAGGCAGTTCCATTTTTAATTTTTTGATGACCCTCCATACTGTTTTCCATCAATTTGCATTCCCACCAACAATGTTCGAGGGTTCCCTTTTCTCCACATCCTCACCAGCACTGGTTGTTAATGTTGATTTATAGATGATAGCTGTTCTGACAGATGTGAGGTGATGTCTCATTGTGCTTTTAATTTACATTTCTCTGATGATTAGTGATGTTGAGTATCTTTTCACGTGTCTCTTGGCCATCTGTATGTCAGGTCCTCTGCCCATTTTTAAATGGATGGGTTTTTTTGTGATGGGTTGTATTCTTTATAAATTTTGGATATTAAACCTTTATTGGATGTATCATTGGTGAATGTCTTCATTCAGTAGGTTGTCTTTTCCTTCTGTTGATGTTTTTCTTTGCTGTGCAAAAACTTTTTAGTTTGATGTGGTCCTATTTGTTTATTTCATGTGTCCCTTGCCCAAGGAGCTATATTGGAAAAAATTGCTAAGAGAGATGTCAGAGAATGCACTGCCTATGTTTTAAGAAGACCATTCTTTAATGGCCTCAGCCTCTGGAAGGAAAGTTCAGGACTCTAAAGAAATTAGTATTCTAGTTCCACAATTATAGTTAATTAAGCTGGTGAGAAATAAACATGTCTTTTTCTCTGCGCTTTTAGACAAATTGTGAGTTTTCAAAAGACACATACAAAAACATAGAAAGACAGACCTAGAATCAAAGCATGAATTTTTGACGTCTCAGAAAACTACAAGCCTCTGATAGACAGGAACAGGTTTAGAACAAAAAGGCTAAAGGATTCTTGGTTTCTCCTTAGGTACGGAGCTGACAGAAAGTAAGGAACCCTTAGCCTGGGTCAGTGTCCTAGTATCAAAAGACTTTTTTTCTTTTTAATCTTCACCCGAGGACATTTTTTCATTGCTTTTGGAGACAAGAGAGAAGCATAGACTTCCAGCAAAGATGGAGGCGTAGGTAGATTCACTTTGCCTCCTCACACAACCAAAAGAAGGACGACAACAAAGTTAAAAAATAAAAAACCCCAGAACTGCCAGAAAATCAAACTGTATGGAAGCCCGACAACCAAGGAGTTACCAAGAAGAAACATTCACCCAGTCTGGTAGGAGGGGCATATACCAGCAGCCAGGGCAGAGAGCACGCATGGCAAGGCAGCATCTGGAGGACTAGGCGGATGACAGTGGCAGCTGGCAGTCCACATTTGCAGCATATCAACCAGGAGAAACAACTGGGAAGCGAGATAAACCGCACAAGTCAGGGTTCCAGCTATGGGGGGGAAAAAAAAGCCTCAAAACCTCTGGCTGTAAAAACCTGTGGGGGTAGCGGTAACGGGAGAAACTCCCAGCCTCACAGGAGAGTTTGTTGGAGAGACACACAGGGTCCTAGAACCTACATAAACCCACCCACCCAGGAATCAGCCCAGAAGGGCCCAATTTGCTTGTGAGTAGGGGGGGAAGTGACTGAAAGTTGGCCAAGAACCAAGCAAGCAGCATTGTTCCCTTTCTGACCCCTCCCCTATATATAGTGTCACAATGCAGTGACCTGGATTGCCTTGCCCTGGTGAATACCTAAGGCTCTGCCCCTTACAACATAACAGGCACACTGAAACAAATAAATATAGCCCAAATGAAAAAACAGATCAAATCTCTGGAAAAATAACTAAGCAACCAAGAGATAGCCAAACTATCAGATACAGAGTTCAAAACACTGGTAATCAGGATGCTCACAGAAATGGTTGAGTATGGTCACTAAATAGGGGAAGAAGTGAAGGCTATGCAAAGTGAAATAAATAAAAATATACAGGGAACTAACAGTGAAGGGTAGGAAATGGACTGAAATCAACTATTTGGAGCAGAAGAAGGAGATAAACATTCACCCAGAACAGAATGAAGAGAAAATTCAAAAAAAATGAGGAGAGGCTTAGGAACCTCTGGGATAACTTTAAACGTTCCAACATCCAACATCCAACATCCAAATCATAGGTGACTGAAGGAGAAGAAGAAGAGCAAGAAATTGAAAACTTATTTGAACAAATAATGAAGGAGAACTTCCCCAATCTGGCCAAGGAAATAGACTTCCAGGAAGTTCACAGAGTCCCAAAGAAGTTGGACCCAAGGTAGCACACACAAAGGCACATCATAATTAAGTTACCCAAGATTAAAGATAAGGAGAGAATCTTAAAAGCAGCAAGAGAAAAGGAGACAGTTACCTACAAAGAAATTCCCATAAGACTATCAGCTGATTTCTCCAAAGAAACCTTGCAGGCAAGACAGGGCTGGCAAGAAGTTTTCCAAGTCATGAAAGACAAGGGCCTACATCCAAGATTATCCAGCAAAGCTATCATTTAGAATGGAAGGGCAGATAAAGTGCTTCCCAGATAAGATAAAGTTCAAGGAGTTCAACACATCACCAAGCCCTTATTATATGAAATGTTAAAGGAACTTATCTAGGAAAAAAGAAAAGATCAAAACTATGAACAGTAAAATGACAACAAACTCACAAGTATCAACAACTGAACCCAAAACAAAAAGAACCTAAGCAAAAAACTAGAACAGGAGTAGAATCACTGAAATGGAGATCTCATGGAGGGTTATCAGCGGGGAGCGGAAGGGGGAGAATGGAGAAAAGGTATAGGGAATAAGAAGCATAAATGGTAGGTACAAGATAGACCGGGGCGGGGTGGGGGTTAAAAACAGTATAGAAAATGGAGAAGCCAAATAACTTCTATGTACAACCCATGGACATGAAGTAAGGGAGTAGGGGTGCAGGGTGGAGGGAAATAAAGGGGAGGAAAAAAATTGGGCAACTGTAATAGCATAATCAATATAATATACTTTTTAAAACATTGAGAGGATTAGCAGATAATAACTGAAGGCTCTCCACTGCGTGAAGACCCTGGGGCCCCTTATCTTTTGCCTGGGTACTCCGGGAGGGCTCTGCACGCTGGTGAATCTTGGGAAAGTGGTGAGATGTCTGAAGCTTGAGGTTTCTGTTTGTGAAAGGACCAAAGTTCAGTCATCCTAGCATCGTAGAGTGCCTCTCTCCAGCCAGCCTGGGACATCTGCTTTGGGGTCAGTTGCTTGGGTGCACTGAGGCTGCTATTTGCAAAGCCAACCCCATCCTGCAAACGCAGGGCTCAGCAGGAGGATACTTGATGGCATGGGCTGAGAACACCATGTTTATGTATAACTCTCGAACGGTACTCAGTAGCCAGCCCCTTTTACAAGTTAATGAGTAAAAATGCCAGTTATAAAATTACTCAAGCAATTGTGTAAGAGATATTTGTTCAGCTCATTAATCCTTTTAACCAGAAGTCAGTTGTTTACTGCTATTGCAGTAGCTTTGCAGACCACTGAGAGCCCGGTTTACAATTGGGAGAACGTTGAAATTACTTGCAGTTACATGACCGCTAGCAGTCAGTCTCACCTAATACTTTCAAGAAAGTTGTTAGCTTGAAGTTGGTCATTTTACTTTATAGAAAGTATATATATTTCCTTTGTAAAAATATAAAACAATATATATTATACATAAGCTTATTTCTTCTGCATTTGCCTCTTTTTTATAAAAAGTTACTTTAAAATTAACTTTCTTTCAAATTTTTAGACTTTACCAGTGAACATTTGCCTAATTTCAATTACATAGCATGCTTATTCTTTGTCATAATTATGCTAGCATTATTTTTCTTATTGGTGATAAGCCATGGTGGGCCATTCCATTAAAGGTCCCATGGGAGGTCAATGGTCTCTTCAGGTACCTTCTGAGGACAAGACAGTCTAAAAGGTTGGGTCAGGAAGCTCGGCTTATCAAAGTCTTGTCACCCTTTGCTCCCTGTGAACCAGACATGGTTGTGATTGCTCGTCAGAAAGGAGCTCAGGGTTGGCATTTGGAGGATTGTCTCCCTGCCTGGCCTGAAATGTGGATGACAGTGGTGCTGATTCTGGGGGCTGGGATAATAATTTGGTACTTTCCTTTCTCACAGTTGTTTCCTCTCTTTGCTCCTGGTGGCTGCTGTGGTTTGGAAGATCAAACAAAGTTGTTGGGCCTCCAGACGCAGAGAGGTAAGCCTCAGCGGATAAAGATGAGTGAACCCTTGTAAGAGCTTTGCCTTTCTGTATGCTATGCTTAAGCATGTCAGTGTTACGTATTTAGTGTTAATTGATGGACATATCCACAGTGATAATAATGCCACCCTTGCTCCGGATGGTCAGTAGACTTCAGTCGGTGCTATGGAAAGTGTAACTAATTCTGCCCTACATGGCCTTAACTTTCTAAAAGGAAACTCCAGTATTGACTTACAGGTGCTGGTTTCACCCATCCTACCAGAACCATGGTCCCTAACTTAGGCTGAGAGTAAAATCAGCCATTTAAACATCTCAAAGTTTTCTCATTATCCAAGGAAAGATAAATGTGTATCCAATTAAATTTTTTATTGAGTTTTATTTTTTTAATGAGTTTTGATGTATTTCCAGAGGCAAACAATCATTATATCTCTCGCACATCGCTGTGTCTCCCATCGATGTTTCTCTCCCTTTTTCTCCCTTCTTTCTCTTCTCTCTAAAAATAAATAAATAAAATCTTTTTTTAAAAATCCATCTATAGGCAAGATTTGGAGGAGAATGGAAATATCTAAAATCAAAACTCACAAGCACTCAGCACTGCAGCACTGTTTATAGAACATTAGTGTCTATAATGTGGTTAAGATAGGTTCCAGGATATGGGCATCTTCCTGAGGCCATGACACCTTTTCTGACCCATGTAAATATGATGTTATCATAGAGGTAATGTTGCATCTTCTTTGTTACCATTTTAAAAATCCAGTGGATAACACATTCAGAGGATTCTTTAATAGCTCTGTTACTAAGATATTTTAAAATCCCAGTGAATTGTAAATATTCTAAAAAAATGCAAGTTGTCCAAATGGAGTAAGAAAAGAGTAGGAGCCACAATAAGCAAGTAACCAGGGAAGAAGGAATTGAAAACTTGTCAAAATATTATTCTCTCCACAAAGGGCATTAGACCCAGGGAGCTTCAATTTGAGATGAGCTCATGATGATGATTATTATAGTCTATTGTTCCTTGGGTGCTTTTGAGAATTATTTTCAAAACATATAAACTGTTTCAGAGCAAAGGATAAGATGAGAAGTTTTAAGAGTCCTAAATCACCCCTGTCTGGGCAGGTCAGTTGGTTAGTGCATCATCTGGCTGTAATGCCAAGATTGCGGGTTCGAACTGTGGTCAGGGCATGTACAAGAAGCAACTGACGAATGCGTAAATAAGTGGGACAACAAAGGTGATGTGTGTGTGTGTGTGTGTCTCTCTCTCTCTCTCTCTCTCTTTCGCTTTCTCTCTCCCCTCCTTGCTATACCTCTCCCCCTGCCCCCGCTTCTCTCTTCTCTCTTTCTAAAACAAATAAATAAATATTTTTTCAGAAAGAGTCCTAGATTGCCAAGGCTGGTGTAGCTCAGTGGATTGAGTGCTGGCCAGTGAACCGGAAGCGTCACCGGTTCAATTCCCAGTGTAGGGCACATGCCTGGGTGGCAGGCCAGGTCCCCAGCAGAGGGCACACAAAATGCTACCACACATTGATGTTTCTCTCCCTCTCTAAAAATAATTAAATAAAATATTTTTTTAAACAGTCCTAAATGATGTTATGCATAAAAACCTTAAAACTAAAACCTGAGAAAGGTATACAAAAAAATAAAGGTCAATAAAGAAATAAAACCTAAATTTTTAGTCATGGCCAAGTAATCATTTAGTCACTTTGAAATTCAACACCAATTCCTACTTTAAAAATAAAATTCTTAGTAAACTCAAAAATAATACTTCCTTTTACACTTTGAAGGTAACCGACATTATTCACAATGAAAAAATTAGACTAAAGATTGTACCAATAAAATCCACACAAATCATTCACAATAAGAGCTGACATTTGAGCATTTCTAAATTCCAGGCACTGCCCTGAGAGGTTTTATATAGATGAACTAATTTAACCCTATGACATACTTACTGACACTAGCCCTATTTCACAGGTAAGGGAATTGAGGCTCAAAGAGGTGTAACTTACCCATCATCACACAGTTATCTAGAGGCGGAACTGGCTTTAAACTTGGGACTTCAGTCTTCACAGAAAGTCTAATCGCCATGTAGTCCTCATAGTCACTTAGTTTTATTCTGGATATTCTAGACTGCACTGAGAGGGAGAAGTTTTGTTACTATTGGAAAGGGAACAAAATTATTTTCAGATAATAGTATTGAAATATAGTATAGTAGAGATTTGCCTGCATAAAAATTAATCCTTAAATGTATAGAGAATAAAAAAATGAATAACAGAAGACAACTAGCGGGAAAATAATTACAACATACATGAAAGAAAATAAGGAAAAGATGAACACCTTGCCGAAGAAAGGCTTTTTTAAAAAGTATGCTTATTATGCAGTTGACCAATCAATAAACTTAAGTTTTTACCCTTGTGATTTCAGGTTTCTCTGTTACTGTGAATCTGACCATTCAGAATATATTTCATCATTTTTAAACTGTCAGTCATGATTTATCCGCCTCAGAATTGTAGAAGAAATGATGCAATGTTATTTATAACAACAAAAAACAATAGCTAACACTGTCACTTAGTGCTTTTACACACAATATCCCTTGCACTCTTCATGAAGGAACTAGAATGGGAGCTGGACAAGGGTCTCACTGTGACTCCAGCTCTTAAAACAGCACATGACCCCAAGCATACATTTGTTGAATAAATAGACCAACATCTTTATGAGATGTAAGAATCTTATTCGTATTTTTAAAAATATGTTTAGCATAAAAGTGTCCTTGTAAAACAGCCTGGACTCTCCAGCTCAAGATTTTCAGTCCTATAATAGTTCCAAGGGCATGGTTTGAAGTAAGGCCTGCTTGGCTTCTGTGACATGACCCAAAGCTTCAACAACGTGGCCAGATCTCTGATATCCTTAATGATACATGACTGACCACCCACCATGTGCTTGACACTATACTAGTTAAAATATCTTATTTGATCCGACTGACATATGTATGGCATTTAAAAACCCATTTCAGAGAGGGAGGAACTGAAGCCCAGAGACTTTAAACACCTTTTTCAAGGTCATACCACTGGAGAGCAGTGGAACCAGGGGTTCACATCCAAGCCTCCCTAAATTCAGAGCCCCTGCTTGTTCCTCTGACTCTGCAGAACTTCACCCTTGGTTAGGTTTTTAGCTTACACTACCTCTGTGTATAGAGCTTCTTCAGTTCCTATCTGCTCTGTAACAAGGGACAGGTTTTTTTGCTGCAGAAATGCTTGGTTCAAGTTTCAGAAGGAAAAAAGAAAGCCTGGCTTTAATCTAGCAATAAAAATATGGATATGGCTGTATCATTTATTTTATGTATTTAACAGCAGGCATTGTGGCATTATATACATACTAAAGTATATATCTCTAACACATAAGGATTTTTTTTCTTTAATACTATGACAGTACTCTTACCACTTCCAACAAGATTTATAATTCCTAACATTATCTAGTACCTGGCTCCCATCCAACTTTCCCCAACTGTTTTAAAAATATTTTGGATTTTATTTGTTTGTATCAGGGAAAATGAGACGTTCTAATATGGAGTATTATTCTCTAATAAAATCGCCTCCGTACTCGTTGCATTAATGCTTGCTGTATTATTCGCCAGCAACTTCTTCGAGAGATGCAGCAGATGGCCAGTCGTCCCTTTGCCTCTGTAAATGTTGCCTTGGAAACAGATGAAGAGCCTCCTGATCTTATTGGGGGGAGTATAAAGGTGAGAATGTGATTATAAAGTCACTATAATTTAATTTGCCAAAACTCATGCTTCTGAACCTGGGAAAACTGAGAGAGCAAAAACATTATTATATTGCCTCTTAGGTTTTCCTCTCTCTTTTTTTATAGTAAGCCAACATACCAATGTTGTCATGTATTCTTGTGCTTTCATTTTCCAGTCTTCGATTCATACTGCTAAGAGGTCTCATGTTAAGGGGAGTTTAAAATATAACTGCGACATAATACTTTAAAACTTGAATAAAACGAAAATGAACCATTGTTCTTTATAAGTATTTGGGAGATTTTTTTAAAGGGACAAAATCATAATTCACTATGAATTCTGTAGAAAAATATTTCTAACCCCCTCAGATGATGAGGAAAGTAGTAAGACTTTCTGTTTTAACAAAATGATGAAATATTTCAGACACTTTGGGAAAACAGCTATATATCTGAATAAAACATACTGAAGTATTACTGAGCTCACAGGAAGTAGATAATATTTTCAGGGATCACTCTCCTTTCCCTTATCAAAGAAAGAAGAAGCCATGAACCAAAACCAGAACCATGAGTGATCTAAAGTGATTCCCAAAGACGAGAGAAACATACCTTCATGAGTAAGAGTCAGCAGGAACAACAGGTGGTGGGTTTAGAGAGGACTTCAAATGTTGGAATTGATATCTAAAGAATGTAAGATACCCATGCATGAAATGTTTAAAGGAATAAAAGATGGAAGCATGAAGATGCAGAAGCCACAAGTCAGGCATGACTGCGCGGATCTGAAAAGTAACCAAATGGAACTGTTAGAAATGGAAAATATAGTAGTAGAAATTTTTTAAGTAACTCAGTTTACATTTTAAACAGCACATGAGACACAAGTGAGGAGAGAGCTTTTGAACTGGAAGATGAATCTGAAAAAATTACGTAGAATAGAGACACAAGGAGATGGAAAATATGACAGATAATAATATGGATGATAGAATGAGAAGATCTAACATATATATTATCAGAGTCCCCAAACAAATGAATAGAGGAGAGGTAGTATTCAAAGAGATAGTAATTAAGAAGTTTCCAGAACTGATATAAGTCACAAAATAAAGATTTGAGAGGCAAAATATATCACAAGCAGAATTAAAGAAAGAAAGCAAGGGAAAGGCAGGAGAGAAAGAAGAGTACAGCTGGCTTCATCATAGTGGAACTGTAGAACTCCAAAACAAAGAGAACATCTTGAAATCAGCCAGTGCAAAAAATGATTACTACAATGTGGAGAAATTAGCACCTCGTGCACTGTTAAGGGGAATGTGAAACTGATGCAGTATTGGGTTTTTTATAAAAAAAATGTAAGTAGAGCCCTAGCTGGTGTGGCTCAGTGGATTGAGTGCTGGCCTGCAAACCAAAGGGTCACCCATTCAGTTCCCAGTCAGGGCATATGCCTGGGTTGCAGGCTGGGTCCCCAGTAGGGGGCATGCAAAAGGCAACCACACATTGATGTTTCTCTCCCTGTCTCCTTCCCTTCCCCTCTCTCTAAAAAAAATATTAAAAAAAAAAGAAAAAATATATTTTTATATATAATATAAAATATATAAATATAAATGTATAGACATATATTATCATATGATCCAGCAATTTCACTTCTGGGTATATACCCAAAAGAATTGAAAGCAGGATCTCAACGATATATTTGCATACCCATGTTCATAGAAGCATTATTCACAGTAGCTAAAAGATAAAAGTAGCCCAAATGTCCATTGATAGATGAATAGACAAACAGAACATGATGTTTACATGCAATGGAGTATTATTCAGCCTTTAAAAAAAAATTCTGATACATGCTACAACATCGGTAAATGTTGAGGACATTATGCTAAGTGAAATAATCCAGTCACAAAAAAACAAATGCTATGTGATTCCACTTGTATGAAGTACCTCAAATAGTCAAATTCATAGAGACTGAAAGTAGAATGGTGGTTGTTAGGGGCTGGAGTGGAAGCGGGGAATAGGGAATTACTGTTTAATGGGTATAGAGTTTCAGTTTTACAAGATGAAAACAGTTCTGGATATGGTTGATGGTGATAGTTGCACAACAATATGAATGTAATTAATACCACTGAACTGTATACCAAAAAATAGTTAAGATGGTAAATTTTATATATATTTTACTGCATTAAAAATAACTGGGAAAACAAGAAAAGATCACCTACAAAGGAGTAACACAGTGACAGCTAACTTCTCATTAATAACACCAGACCAGAAGGAAGTGGAAGAATATCTTCAAAGAACTGAAAGAGAACTGCCAACCTAGAAGAGTGTGACCAGTAACTATGTTCCAAGAACAGGGATAAAATAAAGATAAAGATATCTAAGCAGAAGAAAAACTGAGAGTTTGCCCACAACAGACCTGTACAAAAGAAATGTCTAAATGTGCTAAAAAGAAGGAAAATTACCCCAGGAGGATGGAATAATAAGGAATAGTGAGTAAATAAAAAGGTGGACATGTGCATAAATCTAAGCAAACATTGTCCTGATAAAATGGTAATAATTTGTGGGACTGAAAAGAATAGCACTGGCTGGTGTGGCTCAGTGGATTGAGAGCTGGCCTGTGAACCGAAGGGTTTCCAGTTTGATTCCTAGGCTAGAGCACATGCCTGGGTTGCAGGCCAGGCCCCCAGTAGGGGGCGCATGAGAAGCAACCACACAGTGATGTTTCTCTCCCTCTCTTTCTCCCTCCCTTCCCCTCTCTAAAAAAATAAATAAAAGTTTTAAAAAAAGAAAAGAACAGACAAACCTAAAGTACTGAACAAGACCATACATCATATGTCGGCAGCATATAACACAGTTGGTTAATCCTTACAACTCTTTTTTTACTTTCAGGACACCACACACTTACCCTATGGCTGTTCTTGCTCAGTGTTCTTTATTCAACTCTCTTCATCTCCCCAATGCCTTATACATCAGGCCCAGTCCTTGGGTCTCTTCTCACATCTTTTATACCTACTCCTTTGGTGATGGGTTGTCTTAGTCTATTTGGGTGGCTTATAAATAACAGAAATTTATTTCTCACAATTCTGGAATCTGGAAGTCCAAGATCAGGTGCTGGAAGATTCGCTGTCCTCTGAGAACCCCCTTTCTGGTCCATAGATGGCACATTCTAGCCGAAACCCTTAAGTGGTGGAAGGGATGAGGGAGCTCCCTGAGGTCTCTTTTCTAAGGGCACTAATTCCTTAGTGATAGCTCTGCTCTCCTGACCTAATTGTCTCCCAAAGTCCCCATCACCTTGGGGCATTATAATTTAACATATGAATGTTGGGAGTACACAGACATCCAGAAACCTTCCCGCTCCCCCAGCCAGTGATCTTATCCAGGGATTTAATACCTTGAGCTTTCTACTCACACCTCTGCAGTGAGCCTCCAACTCATATATTAAATTGCTTACTCGTCCCCACTTGGATATCTGAACAGGTATCTCAAATTTAACGCAACTAAAACTGAGCTGTGTATAGTGTTTCCCACATCTGCCCCTCTGTCATGTCTTGCTGAACTCGGTACATACCACCTCCATCATCCTAGATGCTCAGGCCAAAATCATGGAATCACCCTTGACTCATTCTTGCAAATCTTTTTGGCTTTATCTTCAGAAATATTTCCTGACCATTGTACACCCCTCCACCACGGTTACCTACCACCTTGATCTAGGCCACTACCGTCTCTCGCCTGGACTATTGTAGTCGCTCATATCATGGTCTCCCCACTTCTGCCGTTTCCCCCATCCAGTCATTTCCCCGTGCCACAGCCAGGAAGGTATTTTCTTCAACCAAACTGAAGAGATTGCTGACATATCTGGGAGTATGGTGGGCAGGATTCTAAAGGTGGCCCCCAAGATTCCTGTCTCATGGTTAGTTGATCAAACCCTAGGTACTGCTATGAAGGGATTTTGCAAAAGTAATCAAAGTCCCAAAGTAATAGAAGAGTTTTCTCTGGCTGGTGGCAGAACAGGAAGCACGATAAGGACTTGACATATCATCGTTGGTGTGAAGCTGAAGAAGCTGAAGAGGCCGTGTGAACAGGAATGCATGTGAACTCTTGTGAGGGTGACCTCTGGCTGACCCTGGCAAGGAAATGAGGATCTCAGACCTACAGCTGCGAGGAACTGAATGCGTTTTGAAGCAGACTCTTCCCCAGAGCCTCCGGATAAGAGTGGGGCCAGCTGATACTCAGCTTCCCCTTTATGAAGATAAGAGCTGAGCCTCTTGTGGGATGAGCTAAGCATTTTCCAGACCTAATGGAAGACCTGAGTAGTCCTACATCCCTAAGCAGAGAACCCTAGAGAGCTCTGGCCTTCTGACCTACAAAACTGAGATAATAGATGTATTTGTTTTAAGCAGCCAAGTTTGCAGTTTGTTACACAGCAATAGAAACGAATACAGAGGGTATCTTTTAAAAAATCCCATCTGTAGGCTTCACTGTTAAAGCTTGAGAAACACCACTTTAGCTAATTCTTTGTTTTCTTCCACCAGACTATTCCTAAACCCATTGCCCTGGAGCCATGTTTTGGCAACAAAGCTGCTGTCCTCTCAGTGTTTGTGAGGCTCCCTCGAGGCCTTGGTGGGATCCCTCCTCCCGGGCAGTCGGGTGAGTAGAGGAGAGGGCCAGTGACGTGGCTTACTTTCTAGGTGGGTGAGAGGTCCTTCTCTTTCGCTGAGAGTTTGGGTAGAAAAGCGATACTGAATGATGCCTGCCTCAGGACTGAGGATTCAGTGAGATAATCTCGTTGTCAGTGGTACTCCCCAAAACTGTCTTTCTCGCGGTCATCAGGTCACCGTTCCTTTCCAGAGAGCAGTGCAGAGCTCCCCGCACTGCACCAGCTTTCTCCACCTCCTGTGGTATGGATGCTTCCTACCACACCTTCCTTTGCCTACAGTGTCTCCAGCCCCCTCTGGCTTTGCTGCTCCTTTGCTGACTCTGCTCCTCAGTGTAGGCATTTCCCCCTCTTCACGCCATTTGTGTTCTCTCTCTCTCTCTCTCTCTCCCTCTCCCTCTCTCTCTCTCTCTCTCTCTCACCTTACCTACTCCCATGGCTTCCAACCAGCTCCTCCACGCTGGTGACTGTCCAGTGGGTATTTCCAGGACTACTGCGTTTCATTTGCTTTTCCACCCTGTTTTAAATATAAGGCACAACTGAAAGGAAGTTTTTGAAAATACACTCACGGTTCTACTATCCAACACCCATTAATTCACACTGTTCTGTTTCCTTTCCAGTCCTTGCTGACAATTTAGTTGAAATGTTTGCATCACTCTTATTTTTATTCTTTTATCGTATAACTTCTATAAACATTTTTATAGCTTACTACATAATATTTTACCAATCTTTTGTACACTGTTCCATCAAATACATGAATCATAATTTAGATAAACATCGTTGTACATGAAGGAAAGATGGACTCTTGTTTTGGAAGTATCTTGATTAATAATGGATTACTTTGGAGAGATGCCTCAGACACTATGAATGTTTTAGGTAGCCTTCAACTGAGATGATTCTTGGGGTCAGGGTTGCCTCGGTCATGAATGAATGAATGAATGGATTAAATAAATAGATTAAATAAATAAAGCCTTGTATCTATGAGGAAAGCGTGACCCAGAGTCCTTGCCCAGGCCCTGAGCTCTGAGCCCTGAGTGCAACCCAGCAGAGCCTCCAGTTCCACGTCCTTTCTGGTGGTCTGTGCCTGGGGTGTCCTTACAAGGGGAGGCCTGTAGGCTTGACCAGGCCAGGATTTACCACCTTCACTTCATAGGGGAGCAGCTTGATTTGCCCTCACCTAGGGATTCCTGTGAGCTGAGCCCCTATCTCAGCCTTGCCCATGTTAAGGGCAGATGACCCATGGGCCTGAAGACTTTTGCCACCACACTGGCCAATTCTCCCTGAGGGCAAGGTGCTGGCTGGGAAGGGAGGAGGCGATAAGCCTGCAACACTGTGGCCTTTTCTGCCCCAACCTCTTCCTGACATACCCCTCCTCTCCCCCCATGAAGGCCTGCTCACAGCTTCAGACCCCAAAAAGTGGGGCCACCTGTCCTTGCCACTATTCCCAGCCCCGCATTGTAGAGTATGTCCTTCTCTGGCCACCCAGAGCACCTGGCTCTGCCGCTGGTATAACAGTAGTTACTGGTGTGGATTCTCCACTGAATGCAAGACGCTAAAGCTGGCACTTAGAAGCCCCCCCCCCCCATTTCCCCATTTTATAGGCTCAGTGAAGTGGAGTGGCAAGGCCCTTGCCCCCCCCCCACCCCCACCCCATGGCTCCTGAGGGCCTCTGAGCCTGGGCTGGTCTTTCCCCAGTGAACATCAGCCATTTATGGTTGCAAGTACAAAAAGGAGAATAGGAGAATGAAACTACCAGTCCCTAAAGTAAAGGTGGGGGAGGGGGCATGAGCCAAGCAGGACTCAAGAATACTTCCACTCACTCATTGACTCTTCATACAAGCCCTGTGTTATAGTCCCCATTTTACAAATGAACCTGAGGCACGGGGAAGTTTAAGAACCTTGCTTATTACAGAGTCTGGCATAGCCTATATCATGGTATAGATATGAAAATCACTAGTGCTGGCTGGGCGATGTGGAATGAATCTGGATTTCATCATAAGCGGTGCTGCTTTTTCTTGGCATCCTTTTGAAGGCAGGCAGGAGAAATTTAGTGCTTAGTATGTCTGCAGTCGTACTTAAATGCTCCCACCACGAAGCAGAACTCTGGCTTGATTGATCTGCTGAAAAGCAAGCTACACCTTTTGTGTAAATGGTGGGGAGGGGCAAAGAATATATATTTGTATTTGCGTAATGAAACCCTGAAAGAATATATGCAAACTAATGAAAGCAGTTTCTTAGTTGGAGAGAGGAAAGGTGGAGAGAGGGGCAGAGTGGAAGTAAGACTTCCCTACATACTTTATTGCTTTATCTATTGCACCACAGGAATGTAAACAGAAATTTTTTAAATTGTCTTTAAACGTAAAAGCAAGCTGCTCCTTAACATGTGTTCCCTCCATGGGTTCTCCCAAGGTCTCGCAGTAGCCAGCGCCCTGGTGGACATTTCACAGCAGATGCCAATTGTGTACAAAGAGAAGTCAGGAGCGGTGAGAAACCGGAAGCAGCAGCCACCTGCGCAGCCTGGGACCTGCATTTGATGCTGGGGCCAGGGACTCTCTGTGAGTGAGCGAAGTGTGGCTAAGTGTGGTGCGCTAGAGCCGTCTGCAGGGAGGGAGCAGGCAGGAGATGCTGTGTGGAGCGGAGCAGGGCAGAAAACTGGAAACCCTCCGACTGGAAACATCCGACTCATCTGCATGTTCACAAGCTTTCTTTGACAGTTTCTCCATCTGTGCTCCAGCACCTAACCTTTTATTTTTGCATAGGAAATAACTGATTTAATTACAAGTCCAGGGGTGATCCATATGTTGCTGGAGGAGGCCTTAGTGGAGCCAGTGAGAGAGCTGGGAACGACACTCAGGCTTACGTGTGGGAAACTGGTCTTGGGACTGTCTCAACTGTGCAAAAAACAAAGATGTAGTGTTTACAAACAGACATGCGCCATCAGTCATTCTGGAACATGGTCTTTTCAGAATTAGTCAGATGAATGAACTTGTTTTCATCTGAAGCCTGCTATCTTTTTAAAAAGATGTGCTCTTTATTCTTGCACATTTTAGGCAAATACCTGTCTTCCAGGGAGTAGCTTTTTTCTAGTTGAGAACTAATAATGGTCCATCTCTTTTGAATCATATTAAACTGAGATAGAAGGGGGCTATTTTAAATGTCAAGGTCAGCAATGATACCTAGAATGTGAACTGGTGTAATAGGTAGTTTTCTATAGCAACTTGATTAATTTAGTCTGAATCTATTTGAGATTCCTCTCTCTCACATACACACATACACATACACTAAGTGCCTAGACTTTAAATAGATCTAGCAATTGGAAAGTTAGTAAGCCTAAGTTTTTACATAATTGCATTCCTGCATTCTTATAAAATTTAAATAGCTACCATTGGCAATCTGCTTTTTTTTCTAAAACGTACTTTGCAGCCAGGAAAGAAGTCTCACCCCAAGCAACCTTTATCCCAGCAGCAAGGACTGAGAGGAAAGCAGAAATGGCCTAATTGTAAAAGCTCCAGTTTGTATTGTTGTCAAAGAGGACACTGAATAAGCGCAATCCCGTGTGTCCTCTTGCACCCAGGTGACTCTAGGCCTGATGTTTGCTTCAGCCTTTCTGGCCTTCTGCTGCCAGGGCACCACAGAAGAAGGGACGCGCTCATGTTACAGGCATCCCTGGAGCAGAAAGAGCATAACAGCACCTGGCTCAAAGAGCATCTCTGGCCCTGTAGCCTGCTGTGAGCTGCGGCCACCGCAGGCGGCGAGTGAAATCATCAGCGAGTGAAATCGCGCGCCAGGGGAGGGGCAGCGCCCGTTGTCGGCCCCCGTTCCCCAGGAGGGCCTGGGCTGGTCACTCCTCGCCCCCAGACCCAGGTGGTGGCTGTGGGGAGGGCAGGGGACACTAAAAGGATGAAAAGCACATGGGAAAATGCATGAGGAGGGAGAACCATGCCCAATGGAAAGTGACCACATTCAAGAGGGCAGGGCAGTCCCTGCTTTTCTCCCAGGGCATTGCCTGGCAGCGTGTTGCCCCGTCCATGGTGCTCTGTACTCGGGCATTTCGCAGCAGCCTCCCGAGACCCTCCTGTGCTTCAGAACCTGGGGGTGGACCTCTAGGCAACAATGCTCAAGTTTGTGAATTTGGAGAAATTAATACTCAAAAGAGCAAAAACAGTATTTCACCTTTAAATGCAATGCCTACAGAGGGAGTAATATGTCTTCCCCATCACTGGCCTCCCATGAAGAGTTGACTGGAAAAATGTTTTCAAAGAAGGTGAACCGTAAAATACTGTCTGGTGCACAAAACACCTCTACTTTGAGACTCTTCCTTCAAAAAGCTGTGTTTCGCATTGCTGTTACAGAGCAGAAGGTTCTAGAAAAGACCTCTCCACGCTCCCCACGTACCTACTCCAGGTTGCGGCAACCCCAAAGAGCCTGCCGTGGACCGGCCCTTCACCCCGGTAATTACCACGAGGCCTCTTGGCCAAGAGGGAGGCACTGGAGAGGCTCCTACCACAGGGAAATCCTTGTTTGTTCTAAGTGTTCCCTTGGCCAGAAAAGCCTCTTCCCCACAGTTGTCCCATGTCTTGAAATAACATGCACCGTGTCCCACAACCACCTGGTGATCTTTTATTTATTGTTTCCTAAAAGATAATGTTTCGTTTTAAAAAGGAAGGAAAGAGCAAATGAAGTGTAATTCTGCTTCCACAGTAGAGAAACAGATGAATCCACCTGCTTCTCCTTTGCAGCCCCTAGCAAACAGCTTCCTTGAGGCTCTGGCCAGAGGAGAGGAATGGCAGGAGAAAAGGCGCTCAGCTTAGAGCCAGTTACCCAGAGAGCGCCCCTGGCATTCAAGAGATGTCTGCATGCCACAGGAGAGCCTGTATATAATTAAAGTAGTCATGACAACATTGATACTGCACTTGTACATAACTATACAGTAGTGTCTGGAATGTTCAGACATTCGGAGTGTACATAAAACAAAAATATCTAAATGTATTTTTATTAAACGTAACGGTGTCTGAGTTTCACCTAATACGTTTTTGTGCCATATACTGGATATCCAGGTTCAGAGAAGTCTTCTCGTTAGTCCCCTAAACGTTGAAAACAAAGCCAAGAAGGGCACCCTTACCACGCCGATGTGCTCAAATGCGTCTGGTACCGACTGGATAACTTGAGTCATCTGTCAGTACACAAATGAAAACTGGCAGTGAGTCCCTTCAGACAGCAGTATGTGAGGGGACTCAAGGCAGTGAGAGTCTCTCTGTCGCTGGTGTTGGCTCTGCAAGTGCCTCGTGACTGTCTCAGCCTCTGGGTGCTGAGGGTGACCAGGGACAGCCAGGCTCATCCCAAGAAACGTTTCTCAAGGTATCTAAGTTCAAAGACTGTACCTGTAGAAATCAGATTTTCCAAAAAGGGGGTTTCCAGGCTGCATTTTGTGGTGGTTTTATCTAAATTTTTAACTATTATTTCCCAGGACCATAGTTTACTATACTGGCAACGAGGGGTGGGAGTGGGGTGGCTAGTTTGCTGATATACAGCCCTTATTTTCCCCGTGGAGAGACGTGCACACCCTGGCCTTCTGGCCTCTCCCGCCCGCCTCTCTACACAGTGTAGGGAGAAATCTGTGCCTCCCTCTGGGATTGACCTCAAAAAAGTGGGAAGGGGCATGGAGAGAGGGCAAGTCAGACTCCCCTGAGCTATATCGGAGGCAAAGCAGCTCTGGACAGAAGATGGGCAGCGAAAGGAAAACATGGCAAGAAGATCTGTGGGTGAGACCTGAGGTACAAGATTAGAGACACACCCGACAATCTGGGGCAGATGAAAAGACGGGAGCACTATCAGAAAAAGACATTTTACCTTTCAGTGCAAGTCTTATTCCTTCAACTTAATGGAGTGTATTGGGGGAAGGGGTGGGAGTGATTCAGTTCCTTGGGTGGTGTTGCCCTCGCCAGGGGCACCTTCGATCTTTCCATTTCATTCGTTCATCCATTCAACAGATACTAAGCACTTAACACTAACACCCTAAGCTCGTTCACTCCAGGACAGTGACCAAGATGAAAAAGGAGCTCCAGGATTACGACAGAATCCAGCTCCCAAACCTCCTGTCCCAGGAGATCTTTTCCTTGTTACCGTGAGAATTGGCAGTCCTGAGAACAGACCCGGGAAGGCAGAGGGTCTGTCCTTGGGCCTCGCACCAGCTCTCAGTCTGAAATGTTTACCCAGTTTTCTAAACTCAGCCTCAGAAATCACAATGATGGTTTGTAGGTGGCCCACCAGGAGACATTTCCCCTGAGTCTTTCAAACTGATAAACACCCTTGCCTGCAGGGAAATGATTTGGAGAGAAGAAAACTGGCGCCTTCTCTTTTAAAGGCAATAATGGAATCGACTTCCAGTAACTGAATTTGTGCACAAAACATTCTAAACACTAGTGAAGCCTGTTTCATTGAACTAATTCTGGCTCTGGAAATGTTTTGTTCTCTAGTTATTTACGGTTTTTTTTTGTTTGGATTCAAGCTTAGTTTGTTAATATGTATAATTTAGCATCTATTGCACTCATGTAAATATGGAGTAAGTATTGTAAACTATTTCATTGCTGGGGATTGTGGGTGTTATAAATACATTTAGGACTGCAATTTTTGGTATTTTTTGTATTGTAAAATAACAGCTAATTTAAGCAGGAACAAGGTAATTAAGGGAGGTCTGTGCATTTTAAACACAAATGTGAAGAACTTGTATATAAAACTAAATCCTATACTACAAACTTCCTTCTAAAATAAAAGTAGATCTGGTAAAAATGGGGTTTTTCCTGAGACTTTGATTTTTATTTGTTTTTTTGTTTGTTTCACTTTTTATAATTTGGTCATTAGAGCCTTATGGAAAAAAATGTTTAGAATGGTTCCCAAATTTCAGACTGCCTCAGATGAAGCACTTGGCAGTTGAAGATGAAGGTGTTAAACCAACAGGGCGGGCACTTTAGACACCTGTGGGGGAACTTTCTAATGTCCCCACTCCACCTTTGTGCCCTTGAATCGACAGTGGGGAGTGGCGTGCCAAGCGGTCCACGCTGATGCCGTGCCTGCCAGCTGCCCTTGGCCTTTCAGCATTTCATCTCCTCATGGGCTCCTGAATGTCTGGGTTTTCCGAACTGCTGAATCTCAGGAATGCGGGTAGGTTTTGTCCCCCATGGCCTTAGCACTGTCATTGGTCTTGAGTTTTCGATGAAGTTATCAATATGTGCCCATTCACACAGTCCTGTCTGTGGGCTGACTGCATTTCAGTGCCCAAGGGCAGAGTGCGCAAAGCCCGGAAGGATGAAGTGAGCATCATGAGAGTTGAGAGCATCAGAGAAAGTGCAAGGAAGGACAGTTCATGCAGGGGAGGGTGTGGGGCCCCGGGGGGTCTAGGGCAGGGGTCTGGGGGTGCCCACCAAGCTTGGGCCTGGGCTTGGGAGGAAAACTACCTGACTGGTGGCTGCTACAAGGGTGGGGAGGTCCTTGAAACCCTTGGGGAGGGCTGTGGGAGCCACCAAGGGTTCCCGACAGGATAAATCCTGTGTTTCAGTAGTGTGGCAGAGACTGCTGTGTGTTCACCAAACCTGTTAACTTCTGCCTTTGGACGCTCAGCTCAACAGCATCTCCCAGTCCCTTCATGGTTAGGTTGGTGCCATAAACTGAGCTGTGGCCAAAGAAGTGATGTATACAAGTTCCAAGCTTGGCGCACACCATGCCGCCATGTGGGACTCCTGGGGGGTCGGGGATTGAAGATGGGGGGCCGGGGGGGTGGTGTCCTGAGTCACCACTCAGAGGCAGGCCACCTGGGCGGCATGGGCTATGTGCTGGTCTTTGCATCACTGAAAAGCACTCCACTGACCCACTGAGATTTGAGGCTGTATTGCTTTTTATAGCTTTTCTCACTAATATACAAATTGGTACCTTGAAGTGCAAGGCAACTATAATCAAAACCTGAAACAGCCCTTCCCCGGACTGGACCCCCTCTGAGCCCAGGGCACCTCGGCAACCCAGGAACCCCACTACGGCCTCCCTGATGAGAGTGCACCTGAGCCTGGACTTTTGGGGGCTCCCTCCCCTCAGTCGCTCGCACAGACCTTCGGTGGCTCCCCGCCCAGGTCCCGTGTGGCTACTTTGGGGGTGGATGGGGGGTGGGGAACGCAGTATAAAGGGCCGGAGGCAGTGAGGGCCGAGACTTAGACGTGGCTCGTCCACACTGCCGGCCTCTGTTCCAGCTACATCAATAAACTGCCACCTCAGAGGGGAGCAGCAGGCTGAAGACAATGGCACCGGGTAGAGATACAGATGTTGCTGTGGTCAAGAGTGACCTTCAAGGGACCCCTCTGTCTATGACCTTTACAACGCATATGATTGTATTAGTATCATGAGAAACCTCAGTACGGAAATCGTGGCCTATGAACATTTACATCTTAACTAGATTTTCCTGCAGATGAGCCTAGGGACACATTATAATTGTTACCCACAAGTGTTCCCATTTTACTCCTGTTTTCCTTCATTTAGATCCATGGTATTTAAGAATTGAAAAAACTGCTAGATCCTCTGATCAGCTCCATTAATTTTTCCTTAAAATGGCAAACATTGATAAAACAATACACAGTTTTATGCCTCACTAAAAAAACAAAACAAAACAAAAAAAAAAACCTGAAACAGGTGGCCTGGCTTAGAGGCCAGGGGGCAGCAGGCAGAGCAGCTGGGGCTCCCCATCAGGCAGTGGCAACCCATCTGGTGGCTCAGAAAGCAAACTCGTGTCTTCTGAGTTCTTAGTTCAAGAGAAGTAGGGAAAAACAAAATGTGGTATGTGTTGGTTGTTATGTGGTATGTGTTGTGACCGCTTTTGGCGAGGCATCACAAGGAAGAGTTGAGTTCCAGAATTAGTTTACAGAGCAGAAGGGAAAGGAGTGGATTATTCTGAAATCCAGAGCCTTGGAGTCTTGGAAAAGCCAACTAGTCTTGTTTCTTAGTCTCCATTCAGTAAGATGTACCTATGAACAATAAAGACCCAGTGGCATTTAGTGACTCTGCTTCCAGGTGAGACTCAAGGGCTGGTTGTGCTCTTCCCTCTGCAGCCTCGTTACTTCAAGGCCATCGTTGTGAGAGAGAGGCACAGGGATAAGGAAGCAAAGAAATAAAGCCAACTTTAGAAGCGTGTCTAGGAAAGAACCAGGACTGTCGTCACAGACACTGGACCTGCACTGGAAAATGAAAAGCCTAGATTTTTTGAGGAAATCGTGTGGCCAGAGAAACCATTAGTCTGACCTTTAAAAATGAAAACAAACAGTCCTACGACTATTGAGGAAGCTTAATTAGAACCACCGGTAGGCAGGAGATGGCTGTGAAAGCTGTGTCTGAGGAGGGCACCCAATGCCGCCTCAGAAGTGGCCCACAGAGCAGATACGGGTCTCGTCAGGAACTTCCCTCACCCCAAGGCAGGGCCTAGCAGGATTTAAAAATTGCTGTAGGCCAGTGATTGCTGTGTCTGCCAGGCTCATCCTGTACAGGAGGGACATGAGGGTGTCCTACCTGGCCAAGCATCGTGTAGGGACCAGGGATTTCACAGTGAAAAAAAACAGACAAAAATCCCTGTCCTCATAAGAGTTTATTTACAATGTAGTGGGGGGAGGCAGATAATGAGTCCACTGGCAGATGATAAGTTCTGTGAAGCAAGGGAAAAATACGGCTGGGGGTAGAACGTGCTGGGGGAAATTTCTACCTTACAGGGTGGTGCTGAGAAGGGACCACTGTGGTGTGACACGGGAGCAGACAGCTGAATAAAGGAGGGGGCTGGTGTGGCGGCTCAGCGGTGGCAGCGTGCCAGCGCGCAAGGGCAAAGTGGGCTGCAAAACACTGGCAGGCGCTGGGGCAGGCGGGGGTGGGGTGGGGGGGGCCATAGTTTTCAACTGGCACACGACTGCCCCCTAGGGGACATTTTGGAAATAGGTGTAGGCGGTTTTGAAGGGGGTCATCCTGTGACATACAGGACTGCCCCACCCAACAAGGAATTGACCCACATCCCACTTCATTTTCAAACCTCTTGCTGGATATTGGTGTATGTGAGAAAATGTTTCTTCTTAGTGTAGAACCCAACCCTATTATAAACTCAAAGTATTTGAGAGCTGGTTTAATATACAATCAGTTTCCAGAAATGCTACTGTTGTATAAATCAAGGGGAGATCGAACTTCGTTTTCTTCATAACTTTACCAAAATCTGGTCATCATTTTGGAAAATTCTGTCACCAACAGCGGTGTCATTTCTGGTAACTGAGCCCCCAATCCCACACACTGTGTGGGTTGCATTGGAACAGACACACCCTGCCACCCTGCGTTATTAGCTGTGTAAAATGCCTGGAAAGAATTCTCTTCCATCCTGTGTCGCCAACTCAAGGGACTAGACCCGATGGTCCCACTGACTGTGTGCAGCGTGCTGCACAGGGAGCAGGGGGTCAGCCCTGGCAGCCGGGCCCGTTCGCACACCCTGCAGGCCTTTCTTCCTCATTTGCTCCACCCTGGTCTCTTGAGGGCTCAGGTTGTGAGGTTTGTATATTTTGTTCTCCTATGTGTGTTCTCATCTTAATTTTCCTCTCAGCATCTTCTGTTTTGGACTAGAGGCTCCTTTGGGTGTGGGGTGACATGTCCCTGGCAGAACAGCTTCCTGAGAAATCCTCCATGTCAGGCCTTCCGAGGCCTGCAGCCCAGAGAGGCAGGGGTTGCATCTCTGCCTCCTTTCACATGCAGGCCAGACTCACTAGCGAGTGTCTGTCCAGTTGGGGGACGTCTCCCAAGCCCTGGAAAGCCCCTGTCCTGCTTCTCCAGAAATTTTACTGGCAATATCCATACTTCTGGTAAAAATGAGCTAGTTCTGCCCTGACTGGTGTGGCTCAGTGGACAGAGCACTGGCCAGTAAACAAAAAGGTCGCAGGTTCAAATCCCAGTCGGGGCACAGGCCTGGGTTGCAGGCCCCAGTCGGGGGCATGCAAGAGGCAACCAATCAATGTATCTCTCACACACTAACGTTTCTCTCCCACTCCTTCTCCCTTCCTTCCCCTCTAAAAATAAAATAATAAAATCCAAGGAAAAACAAATGAGCTGGTTCTGTGAAATTGGTGCTGCCTCACTCAATGGGGGAGGGTGGGGGATGGGCAGTGGGCAATGAGCAGTTTCCACACCAACCTTGTGCCTTAGACAGCAGGCTCCAAGCCAGAGCGGGTATCCATGAGCCGTGAAGTTCCACCAATAAATCAACAGAAGCTTCCAGCACCTGCCTTCCTGCCTCACTCCCAGCCCCCAGCCACCTGCTAGCTAGAGGCTCAATGTTGACAGTGGCTAATAGAGACCCAGTCACAATGAGGTCAGGTCACGCCACAGTCTTCCTGAGTACACGTGAGAGAGTGACAGCAATCAGGCTACCTGCTAGGACACTCAGATGTGGACAAGCTAGGCAGGGCCTCCTCCTAGTTGTGGAGGCCACAGCTGGACTCAGCCTTGAGGTGTCTGGCCAGACTTAAAACCATGTATAAGCCAGGACCTTTTTAGTAGAAGTGACAGAAACCAAATTCTGACAAACTTTGACAAGCCCATTGGTTTCCTGGGGCCGCTAATGACCAGTTACCCAACCTTGCTGGCTTTGAAAAACAGAAGTCTATTCCCACAGTTCCAGGGGCCAGAAGTCCCGAATCACAGTATGGCGGGGCTGTGCTCCCTCCAGAGGCTCGGGAGTAGAACTCATTCCTGGCCTCTTGTAGCTGCTGGTGGCTTCCAGCCTTCCTTGGCTTGCGTCTGTGTTACTCTCTGCGTTACCTCTGCCTGTGTCTTGTCTCCCTCTGCATCTCATATAATGATTCTCGTGACTACACGTAGGGTCCCCTCAGATAATCCAGGATACGCACCTCCTCTCAAGATCCTTAATTTAATCACTTTTGCCAAGAGTGAGGTAATAGTCACTCTTTTGCCTACATACAAGGTAACATCCACAGATTCCATGGCTTAGGAGGTGGACATATCTTTGGGGCCACTATTCAACCCACTTCAGCAACAAAACCCTCAGAAAGTCGACTGGCCCAGAAGTGGCAAGACGGTGGCCTTCACAGACCAAAACACCTCGTCCCTCCTCTGGGCTTCTCTCTGCAGAACTGGCTGGGCCAATGGCCCAGACAGCCTTAGGTCACCCACACAAAACGTTCACTCTGGGGAAAAACAGAGAGTCAGACATCGGGGACCCTGGGACTTTTCATTTCCCCCCTGCACCCAATAAGGAAGCCTCTTCTCCGCTGCACATTGACGTTAAAGAGGCTCCATTTGGTTAAACCTGGCGTTTGTCTGCTTGGAGAGAAGTACTGAAGGAAGCTACCATGGAACAATTGTGCAATTTTCAACTTGGTTCTCCTCACTTTTATCCTTCCAAACTTTTGAAAGGTGTATGCCTATATTTTACTCCATTTACCTGAGTAAAACATGGAATACGAGAGTTGAACACACTTTCACGTACAGCAAATTATTTAGCAAATATTTCATTCTGTATTTGGGCCACCATGCAATCATAGTGAGCAGGGCAAGGTGAAACTTTTGCTTGCCTCTCCTAGCCCCAAATGCCCCCCCACACACACCATATCTCCCCAGCCCATCTACAGGTGTCCCCCACCATGCAGATGTAGGTGGTTGAGAACATTCCTTCTCCTTCATAAAGTGAGAACAGGTTGGACTCTTACTTTGCCCAATGCCCCTCGTTCTTTCCACTGGAAACCTGCCTTCCCATTTCATGTGATTTTGGTGGGCTGATGTCACTCCCCAGGCCACTGGAAGAGGCTTGTAACCCATGCTGGGATCAACAGGGTCCTTCCTGGGACAGTCCGGGACTGCTGGGCACAGTACGAGGAGCAATATAGTAGATCGGGGGCTGCCGGTGCCATTCTTCCCTACCCTGTGGGGAGAGCCTGCCTGGCTGCAGAGGGAAGCCACACACAGACCAGCTAGGGCAACATCGTTTGAAACCCTTGAGATAGCTGTTCCTGACGCTTGGATGATTGAATTGCATGCCCAGGCCCATTGGATTTGTGATTGCTTTCAATCAGGAGAGTTCTGGCTGAAGCTGGGAGGCTGGGTGACAGCTGCCTCGCAGGGAGTCTGTAGGTTTGGTATGAATTGCTAAGTACCGTTCTCAGACCTGGTGGCACTTTTTCTGATGAGGACAGCCCCAGGCCTGGGCTTTGGTGTGGTCTGTACCTAACCCGCGTCTTAGGTCAGGTTCTCCAGAAACAGCACAAGATAGGGATTCTCAGGCCCTGATTTATTGAAGGGATTAATTACTCTCACAAGAACCTCCTAAGTGAAGGAGGCGGGAGTGGGCAGGGGAAGGAGCTAAGCTAGGACAGGGTCTCAGCTAGGTTCAGGCATCAAGGCCTGGAGCAAGACTGGTGCACCGAATTGTCCCCCTGAGGCAAGCAGGCTAGTCCTTGGTTCCCACGACTCAGTCAGTCCTTGACTGCAGCCCAAGTCAGGGAGCAGAGTATTAACTTTACAGGCTTTTCTTCTAAAGAAGGGGGCAGCTGTGAGCTGTGTTTGCAGCCAACATTCCCAGCAGCTTGGGGAGGAGTTGCATTGCCCAGAACAGTCTCTGAGCAATAAACCAACAGCCTCCACTTCCACTGGTTTCACAGTCTCTGACAAACCTCAACCATGTTTGAAAGGGCAGTCTGGAGAGATGGGATCCCTTCACTCATCAGGAGTCTCCAAGGTTTTGAGGAAGAAGGAAGGGGGCAGAGGCTTAGTACCTGACCCCCATTATTCTGCCCTCTCCTCCCCAAACTTTTTGCAGAACTGAAATTTAACACAATGCCCTTGGCATTCTCTGAGTCCACACTGGCCTCACACACAGAGTGCTCACAAAACCCTTCTGAAAAATATCCCCTCAGCTCCAGGAAAGAATTTGACTGTCCACATGGAGTGAAGCAGGTAGAAAATGCAGGAATAAAACCCAAAATCCCCATCACCATTTCTTTCAAGAGTCTGTCACGGCTGGGCTCTGTGAGCACTGAGATGGGGCTCCCAGGCACCCCAGAGGCAGAAGTATATCAATCAGGGCCTATGTTTGGCTGCAAATAACAAACTGGGGAGAAATTGCCTTAAAGAAAGAGGTGTCATTTTTCTCATGCAATGAAGAGTCCAGAGGGGGAGAGGATTGGGGCAGGTGCAGTGACTCAGTTTTCAAGATGGTGCCCATGTCCCCATATATTGCCACCAAGACCTGGGCAGGAAGAGGGCTGAGGCCAAAGGCTGAGAGGGCCAGTCAGCAAGTCTGTTTCTGTTTAAAGAGCTCTCCTGGAAGCTTCATCTGTGAATTCCACTCATTCATTGGCAAGGACTGTGTCATATGACCAGTCTAGCTGCAAGGGAGGCTTGGAAATAGTTTCTTTATCTGAGTACTAGCAGAGAAAGAAAAAAAATTGACAAAAGCAACCAAAATCCCTACCACTAGGACCTGATAGGTTATTCATTTTGGCATCTATAGGTGAGGAGACTAAGCCCAGAAAGGTTCTGAGGCCATCTGAAGTCACACAAGCCAGCAAAACACCCTGTGGCTAACCATGGGTCCCAGGACACAGGTCACACGAAAGCAAGGCCAGTGTCAGTGTACATGTATTTATTGAGCTGTGGATGCCATTCCTAGTACTGGGTTAAACCATGGGGAAGGTGGCCATATGGCCAGTGCAATACAGGGGACTGGATTCTCGCCTACTCTAGGTGGTACCCACCAAGCAACATATCATGGATAGGAGATGCTCTGCCAACATTTGTCATGGGGCACAGGTGACTATCATCACGGGTGGTGCCTAACTGAGAGTGTCATAAAAGACTGCAGGGTTAGAGGGGGTTTTGCCTACAAGTTTGTTCAGGTGTACTCCCTAAGGCATGATCTGCTTGGGGGCGGGGGCTGATAAAATTTATAATTCTGGGAGTCTGGATGGTCTCTGACCTTCTCTAGGTTACCTGGAGCCCTGGTGAGGCCTCAGCTACACAGGTGACCCCCTCCCATGCCTACCCTGTGGGAGACCCCAACTGTTTCAAAGCCTGTGGAGAAAGAGATATACAACCAAGAAACCTACTGAAGGGGAAACCATGGGCTTTGCAATCAGGCCTACAGCCCACATACCTCACTCCAGGGAACAGGCACAGAGGGTGTCCAGACCTGCAAAGGTCAGGAGCACTGGGGCCAGCTTGGGAGGTAAACCAGTCCCTTTCACGGGGGCAGTAGGCCACGGAGGCGGCCATGTACCCCGGACAGGCTGGGAGAGTTGGCTGTGCTGTCCAAGGTCTGCTGTCCTAGTCAGAGCAGAGGCTGGAGAGCCAGGGCAGGGAGCAGGGAGAGCAGGGAGCACTCCTTTAGGGGCCCATCTGTGGAGGACGCCTTGGGGGTGGGAGCAGAGTGTGGGCTTAAGGCAGAAACCTGGCTCTGCTCTCTGCACCCACCCCCATTCCAGGTCATTCATGTCCACATAGGCCCCACTGGCCTGGGAAGACGGTGAGCAGGGGATGCCAGCTCGCCATCCCCTGCCTGCACCCACCTGCAGGAGGCCATGCCCAAGGTCCTGGCGGGGGTTTTGATGGTCCTGCATGACTGAGGGCCGCCCGCTGTCAAAGGCCTGTATGGCGCCATCTATAGAGGGAGGGGTCCAGGATGGGTTTAGCCTGGAAACCCTAGCACAGGGGCCAGCTCCCAAGGGACAAACTGAGAGACCCCTGGCATCTTGTGTGGCCTCTCCCTACAAATGGATGGGAAGGTAGGATGTCTGCAAGGATTGGTTTCCAGAATGGAAGGTGCAGGGTGAGGAATAACAAAGTAAGGACAACTGCCCTTACTGAGTGCCTTACGAACCTTGCAGCCTTCCATCCTCATGGGAGAGGGTGGCAATGACCACCCCCATTTTAGAGATGGACACAAAATGGCTTAGAGGAGGACTTCAAACTCAGGCCCCCTAAGTCTCAGACTGGACAGGAAACCACCGAGCTATTCAGACCCGCAAGGTAAAGTCATCAATGAGAGGAGCTGGCAGTGCCTCGGGGATGGGGATGGAACCACCTCAGAAGTGGCAGAAGCAGGAATCTCAACTAATTCCATTCCAGGTCCTCTCCTGCCCACAGGGGCCAGAGCCTATACCGCCGTAAGAACCTACTTTGGTCTGTCACTTGCTCTCCAGAGAGAGCTGAGTGCAGATTCCCAAAGGGACAGGACGACAGCAGAGGATGAAGTGGCCCTACCTGGCTGCCGCAAAAAGCCTCAGTTTCCTCACTCCTAAAATACACTCCCGCCCGCCAGGTGACTTGGTAGAGGGCAGTACGGGCCAACCATACTCCAGCGCCTCCCGTGGCCCCTCACCCAAGCATTGGTTCCTTGTAAAGAGCTCCCGGAAAGCTTCGCACTCCTCCCGCCGGTTTCCGCTGGCTCCACAGTTGCACCAGGGCTCCACGCGCGCGCTCGCGTTGTCCACGTAGTTGGGGGTGACAGCGGTGCCTGCGGGAACCCGGAGAGCGAGTACTCAGTCCATCCAGGTGGAGGAAGCCCGGGAGAGCCGCGCCCGCTCCCAGACCCCGGCAGTGCGTACCCACGAGGCCCGCATAGGCGCGCAAGCAGCGTGGGGCTTGGTCTCGCGGGCAGCCGTCGGGGCCACTGGGGGCGGGTGCACAGGAAGCCTGGAAGGCCAAGAGGCGGGGCCTGTGTGGAGCAGCGGAAAAGCGATTTGCGATTGGCGGCCGCGCCCAGCCTCGTAGCCCCGCCCCTGCCCCGCCCCCTGCCGCACCTGCAGACCCTGCTGTGCTCGCAGGCGTCTAAGGACTCGAGGCAGGAGGGCGGCGCTGGCCCCGGCCAGGAGAAGGCGCAGGCGGGCACGAAGGTCTGGCGCCGGCGCTCGGCACACACAGGATCAAAGCACGGGCAAAAGAGTAGCGCGTGGGTGAGCGCAGGCGACCCGTGGGCGAAGAAACGGCGCAGGGCGCGGTGGCATCGGGTGCGGGGGCAACCCCCCGACGCGGTCCGACCCAGGCACTGCGCCACGTACTCGGTGCGCAGCTGCTGACACTGCTCATCTGCTGTACACGCCTCGGCCGCGTCCACGCATCGGTTCCGTGCGTCCGAGCTCGGAGACCCTGGCGGAAGGGCGAGCAGACTGCAGTTCTCTGTTCAGCCCACAGGCACACTTCACCACCCTCCGGCTCTGCTCCCCTACGATAGGGACGCGCTGAAAACCCAACGGGGACGGAGTGTGGACTGAGGGTGTGAACGACTGGTGCTGACCAGCCTTCCGTCGCGTGGATGAACGGCAGGGGGCCCTGAGGATTCCTGCAAACACATCAGGGATGGATGGGGCGCACCGTGGCTCCCCTAGAGGCTGAGGCCCATTCTCCCCAGGCACCACCCCTACCCCAGAACGGCCCCCCCCCCCATCCAAAGAGGGGTCCGCGGGTCTTCTCCCAATTTCAAGATATCCCTCTGACGCAGGAAACAAGGCTTCTTGGGGACGTGGCTAATGAAGACCTATCAGAAATGGCCTTGGAAACAATGGAGACTCCTCGTCTTCTCCCTTTGACATGCTCAGATTGCTTTCTTTTCCCTCCTTCCCCCTCATGCTAGGAGGCCCTTTAAATGGGTCTATAGGTTTCTGGTTCTCCCTCCTTCTTTACCTCCTGCACCTCCCCTTGCCCGCTGCCCTCTGCCACTGGAGTCTTTCCCCTCCATTCCCTTCTGGTGCTCCCTCTGGCCCACCCAACCTATGCTGCCCCATCCGGACTCTGGCTTCCTCCTGGTTCCTCCGCCCTCCCCTCTCCACCAGCCAGGCTAAAGAGGGACTCTTGAAAGGGCTCTGGTCACTGGAGGGCCTGGCTGTTAGGGGGTGGACCTGAGAGAAGCCCCTTATGGGCCTCCTATAGAGCCACAGAGCTCTATCCTGTGCCACAGGTCTCCTGAGCTGGGGAGGAGAGTACACCTGGCACAAGAGTCAGAGGGTGAGCTCTGTGCAGATGTGCCAGGGGCCACATCTAAATCCAGCCAAGCCGTGGTCTCCAGAGGCTGAGACTTGGCAGCCTTTTCCTAGGAGCTAGGTCACCAAACCAGGCTACCTCTACCCCTCCCTGCTGTCACTCCGTGGAAGCATCTCACTTAGACAACAAGCTTTCTAGCAGGGCAGTTCCCAGCCTGGCCCCTCACCCATATCACTGTGTATGTGTGGAGGGGGGTGTCGCCTGCTTCAGGGCTTTGAGCAGGGCCCCTCTCTGGGACAGGTCACCTCTTTTGGGGGCCATGATGATTCTCGCAGTGGCTTTAGTGCCCTCCACTTTGCGGGAAGGACAGACAGACACTAAGGACTGGGAAAGGGTATGTGAGTGAAGAGAGTCACAGGAGAGGGATGAGCCCTCCTTCTCCCCTCTCGTCCCCATCTCTCCCAGCAAAGCCCCTTGTGCCCCCAGGCCTCAGCCATGCACAACAGCACCTAGTGTTTGTCCCCTAGGGTCTTAGTTCTACCTCTGCTCATTGCTTATTTGTCTTTCTTCACCAGGAGCACCCTTACCTCATCTCCACCCTCAAAACAACAATTCTTAGCTCCAAGATCTCCCCTGCCTAAAATCTTTGCCTGATTGCATTCTCCCCATCTCACCCGATAAAGTGACCCTTCCCTTCGTGATACAGCACGTGGGGAAGGAACAGGCTGAGCAGATGGAAACAGCTGATAGGTGGCACAGAGACACTGAAGATGCAGGGCAAGAAATCAGTATGAAACTCCAAGACTGCAGGTGGAGGCCTGGGCTGGAGGAAGGGTAGGAGAGGTGGGAGAGGGGACGCAATAGGACAAAGAAAGTGCTTGGGGCAGGGGTACCAAGGTGGGACTTGGGAAAGGGGGTAGCTCCGCAGACCTGAAGGCAGGAGGCAGGATGAATAGAGCACTGCAGACTGCCAGGTGTCCCTGCACCCCAAGCACAGGTCTCTCATTGGTGCCAATTCCTACCTTCCAGCTTTTCCTGAAATCACCCTCTTGCCCTCTACTCTGTCCCCGAAGATCTGGGACAAAGAAGCTAGGGTTCGGGGGACCTGCGGCCACTCACTCAGAAACAGCCATAGCAGCAGCAGCAGCATCGTGGACTCCAAGCAGTGGGCCATGCGGCCTGCAAACAGAGGAGGGGACAGCACGGGGCAGAACCCCAGTGAAACAGGTGCCCTCTTCCCAGCGCCACCTGAGCTGGAGGCGGTAGAGGAAACCCAGACACTGTGCCGACAGGAGCTCTCCTGTCACTGGGAGGAGCCTCTGCATGACTCCCTGCCCCTGCTAAGTCCCCACCCCAAACTGTACCTTCAGGAAGATCCAGGAGCCACTAAACCTAGATCCAGGTGGACCCCACCACACGCTCACCCCTCCTCACGGCCACACCTGTACTCCAACCCCAGGAGACCTTGTCTTTCCCATGCTAAACTGTGAACTTTATGAAACAGCATTGTTCTTTTCCTTTTATAATTTTATCTTTAACTTTTTATTGTTAACTGATTTTAGACTTGAAGAAAAATTGCAAAAATATTAGTGTTTCCTTTATACCTTTTACCCGGCTCACCCGTGTGTGAACATCTTACATAATCACAGTATAACTGTTAAAATTAGGACATTAACATTGGTACATTTTTAATTTCTCCAGTTTTTCCACTAAAGTCCTTTTTCTGTTCCAAGATCCAGGCCAGGACCCCATATGCACTCAGTGGTCATGTAGCCTCAGTTTCCTGCAATCAGTGGTAGTTCCTCAGTCCCTCTTACAAGCCTGGGGCTTCCCATGTGGCCCTGCATGCCCCCTTTCCTCGGGAACTGTAAGTGATAAAAACTTCTTTCGATGGCATTAACCTCTCCATGGCAGCACCAAGTCATCTTTATAAATCAAAATCCCACAGACACAAAGAACACAGGACAGGGCTTTAGAAGACGGTCTCATTCGGCCTCTTGGGCGGTGGAGAGAAAGCGAGCCCGAGCTGGGGGCGCCCCTTCCCTGCTGCCGGTGCGGGGGCGAAGCGGGGGGCGGACGCTGGCAAAAATCCCCCAGCTCTTCACCCTTGGAGATGCGGTTTTGCCACTGCTCCCATTAAGAGGTGGGTTTTTTTCCCCAATCCCTGGAACCCGGCCTGGCCTGTGACTTGCTTGGGCCAATGGAGTGTTAATGGTAGTTAACATGAGCCAGTCAGGAAATCTCAAGGGGCCTTTCAAGCTTCCAGTTAATCTTTTGCTGGATGAGGTAAGACAGGAACTTGCCTCAGGATCACCGTGAGTGGTTTTCCCTTTTGCCTCTGGCTCCCGCATGGTTTGGCATGGAGCTGTTACTCATCCTGTTTTTACTTAAAATTCTGATATTTTGTTCATCATAAAGTTCTGGCACTAATTTTCAAAATGTTGCATTAAAATATTGCTTATCTTGATAGTTTTTCTGTGTGTGCCCAGAGTAAGCTGGCACATGTACCTCATCCTAATCCCGGTCCTGCTCTCTTAGAACCCTCCACAGCTGTCACGTGAGCAAGCCTGGGCTGGCCTGCTGGAAAATGAGAGACACACAGCACATCCCTCCCCATCACCCCAGCCAACCCCCCGCCACCCCCAGAAGCAGACCTGCCTCGCTGACCTGCAGCTGATGGCAGACATGTAAGTGAGCTGAGCTGAGACCAATCAAACTACCAGCTGAGTTCAACCTAATTTGCTAATTCACAGAATTAGCTATTGTTTTAAGCTCCTCAATTTGGGGGGAGCTGACTGATACAGAAAAGCACTCGGCAACTCTTGCATGAAGCCAGGGGTGAGAAAAAGAGGCTTCTGAGAATGTTGAAAGGAGGCAGGTGAGCTGGGCCAAAGGGATCATTCAAGCAAGGCAACACCATCCTATGCCCAGGTCCATCTGGGGCCCTCGCTACGATCTGAGGCCCCGCCCACCAGCCATCCCCGCTCAGGGAGCTCCATGGGGTTGAATTTACAGACAGAAAAGACTCACAGAGGCCCTTTGGTGCCCTTTCTAAAATGGCTTCCTCTGTCCCCTCCCAGGGAATGGAGGAAAAGCTCAATAATGTTTAAAGTGAGAGGCTGCCACACACCCCACACTCCTCCGAAACCTCAGATGCAGGACTAGGAATGGGATGGGGCTGAGGAAGCATCGGCGGGACAAGACAGTGCAGGGAGAGGGAGGAAGGAGGGTCCCAAAGGTTTTGTTTGTTTTGCAGGGACCAGGCTCCAGGGAAGTGGACTCTCAACTTGAAATGCAGGTTCCCCGAGTCCAGGCTCTGGCCCAGCAAGCACTGCCCTCTGCAGAGCTGAGTCTGGGGGAAGTGGATGTAGCCCACACCCTCAGGCTCCACAGACAGAGGCCTCTCCCAGTGCCCAGTGTGACCCAGCCTCCCCTGGTGGCAAGGGGTCAGTGACTATGTGACCTTCTCTCCTTGGGTTGATGGTGTGAAGGAGAAACTGTTCCATGACATGACCACTGCCAGATCCTCTGGGTCAGAACAGAGATTGCTTCTAGGAAATCCCCTCAGAGACTGACCGATCACGTCTCCCCTATGGGCCAGTCATGCTGGTTCCTGGAACAGGCCCTTGCGCTTCCCTGGACAAGCATGTACGGTGTTTTCCCTTTATCTGGGGTGGGTCATGCCCCAGTACGCCATCCATCCTGACCTGTACTATATAACCCTTTAGCGCCTGCCACGTGGCATGGTGGACATCCACTTGGTCTTGAGACTGCCCAAGACGTGCCTTGTATATATAAGTTCCCTTAATAAACTGATTATGCTGGAATTGTCGGCCTCTTTCTTGGGTCTCTCAGACGTGGAAGTTTTACATAACAGGTGGATTCTTGGGCTTGCATGGTTCCTGGCCCTAACAAACAGGGAAAGCATTGGGCAAATTCTGATGAGGCTCTGGGGTCCTGGAGCAGGTAGGGCGGAGGTAAGTTGGGGAAGAAACTTGCAAGCTGCCTGAAGGTGCAAGGAGGTCTGCTGACTGGCTGGCTCTGCCCCTGGTGGTCCAAGTGCCTGGAGTGGCTCTCAGTATTCGCCTCTCACCAGAGACAGTAGCTTGGCTTCTGGACTTGACCTGCTGAAAATAAAGTGGGGGCAGGATCATCCCCTGAGGGCTGAGACCTCAGGCTGCAAGTCATGTGGCAGGAACCTACCTCAGTGAGGACAGATGACCCAGGAAGAGCCACAGCTTCTCCCTCCCCAACTCCAGAGCCTCCATGACAACAGCTTCTCCATGGGGTCATATCGCAGAACCCAAGCTCAGAAACCCCACAGTAGGGAAGAGGAAGCTGAGGGGCAACTAAGGGACAGGGGGTGGTGGAGGTCCCCCATGAGGGTCCCCACCTACCTTAGGGTGCAGGTAGGGCCACAGGGCACAGGTTTCTCAAGGTGGCTGTTGAGCTCTGGCAGAGGTTTCAATGTCTGGGAGCAATGGGTAGAGAACGAGTGCTGTGAACACTGTTAGCAGTGGTCCCTGGGGTAGGCAGGGCCCAGGGGACTCAAGGCGGCTGGGCGCTAAGTGCAGAGGAGGGCGCCCAAGAGCCCATCCCTTCACTTCCCACCCCATCTCCCCCTGCGCCTCACTCACCAGGCGGTTGGGGCTCTCCAGGGGTCATCGGGCCCATCTCCAGGGGATGAACACTGCCCAGGGGGTGCTGCCTGTGTGGGCCTCCTTTGGGCCTGAGCAGCGAGATAAGAGGCCAGGAGGCTGAAGCAGTGACGCTGAGCAGGACACCCCCTGCTGCCGGCTGCTTCCCTGCAGCTGGCAGCCAGTGCCCAGCCCGTTTTCCGTTCTGCTCAGCCTTCTGTGTTGACTGAGTTCCCACCCTTCTCTCCAGGTCATCCTCTGGCGCTCACTTCCTGCTCCCTCCTAAGAGCAGCCCTGGGGGCCAGGCCGCACTTCAGACTCAGCATCTCCCAGGGCTGCAGTGCTTTCTCTCTCCAGCCCTGACATTTTCTTTCTTCCTTTCTTTCTTTTTTTTTAGAATTTTAAAAAAGATTTTATTTATTTATTTATTTTTAGAGAGAAGGGAAAGGAGGGAGAAAGAGAGGGAGAGAAACATCAACGTGTGGTTGCCTCTCATGCACCCCTTACTGGGGACCTGGCGCGCAACCCAGGCCTGTGCCCTGACAGGGAATGGAACCAGCGACCCTTTAGTTGGCAGACCGGCAGTCAGTCCACTGAGCCACACCAGCCAGGGCCAAGCCCTGACATTTCTCCCCTGCTCCAGCACCTCCCCAGCATCCTGGCACCTTGCAGATGTTGCTCTCACTCGGGTCCCAAAGAGCGGTGGACTTCCTCCCTAGTGGCACCTGTGCCTATGATCCTTGTCATGGGACGGCCCTGCTGCCCTCAGTGATTCCAAGCCACGCTCCGCGGCTCATGCCCCATCTCCCGGGGCCTTCCACTTCCTTCCATGTCTCTTCAAAACAGACTCCACTGTCCTCAAGACCCTGGTGATGACACGCAGTCCCCGCTTCGGCGAAGGGCCCGTCCTGCTGGCACACCAGGCTCTGAGCACTTTGCCCTTCTGCCCACAGACCTGCAATCACTGCTCATTGTGTCAAGGCCCTCTCACCTGGCACCTGGGACCTGGCTGGCACCCACCCCTGGCAGGAATGCCCTCTGTCCCTGTCTCCAGCCCAAACCCTGCCGTCTTCCTCAGCTTGTCCTGAGCACTCCCAAGGCCAGGCTGTGTCAGATGTAGCTATAAGGTGCCTGCCTTTCCCAGCACCCAGTGAAGGGGCAGCCCTAGGTCAACTGTGCTTGATATTATGAGACTCTCCTTCCAGATCCTGGGCTGGGTTAGGGGCAGTCCCTTGCACAAGGGCAGCTGGCACACTAGCTGACCAGTGGTGTGGAGTGAAAAGATGTGCTGGCCCAGCATTTGGGTGCTCAAAGGAGGTAACAGCAGAGATTTAGGCAGGGGATGTGGCAGAGGGCCGAAAGCTCGTGAGAAACACTGCGGAGGCCTTGAAGAACACAGCGGAGCAGGAACTGCATAATGAGCCGGTGGAAAACATGACAAAGGCAAAGATGAGGTAGCCCCCTGTTGGGAGAAACAGGGGAATGGACAAAAAGGGACCGAACCACAGCAATGGGGAGGGGTAGAGGGCCCTGAGTGGATTCACACCCTTGCTCCCTGGTGCCCTCTGCTCAAGGCTTCCTTCCACTACCTCTGCCGCCTCTCTGCACCCAGGGACAATGCCTAAGGACTCGACCCCAACTGCCCCAGGCCCAGCAGAACTCTGAGGAGCAGGAGCCACAGGAGTGGGCTCAGGGAGGAGGAGCCGGAGCCCTCAGAGCCTACCCACTGTTCCTCCTTGAGCCGCAGAGGCGCTGCTGGAGCTGGGCTCCCCGCTGCTGGTAGCAGCACCAGGCCAGGCCAGCCCCAGGAAGCAGAGGCAGCAGAAAGCTGCAGGTCACGGCCAGCAGGAATGCATAGTGGTCTGCGAAGGACAGGGTGGGGCTGAGTCCTACAGGTGCACCACACGGCCTGTCCCCACTTGCTTCCCCACCGTGTGCGCACTTTCGGGCTGCGCAGGGCCGCTGTCTATGCTACCACCCAACCCTGGCTTGTCGCAGAAGGGTGGCGCCCAGCCAGGATCACAGTGGCAGTTATGGTTACTATTGCAAACCTGCAGGAAAAGAAAGAAGGAAGGTCCCATGGGATCAGGGACCTCAAGGTCACACCCCCCCCCCCACACACACACCTTTCAGACCACTCACCCCATGGCCATGACAGGCTGTCAGGCAGCGCTGCAACTCCTGAAACGTAGTATTCTGGCAGCGCCTGTCCTGGCACACCTACGGGCAGTGGTGTGCGCTAAGCACCATGGGGGAGTGATGCTTTGGCCCTCGGGCCTCGAGGCGGGGAGAGGGTTGGGTGGGCAGGGCTCACCATCGCCGGTCCACACAGGGTGCCTGGCTCTACCAGGCCCAAATCGGGCCGGTCCAGCTGGGCACCAGGTAGCAGGAAGGCTCCCCTGCAAGTCACCTCGAGGCTGCCTAAGCGGATGGTAGAGTCCACGGGCACCGTGTGTGATGTCAGTGGGCTCTGCTCCCCGCCCTGGCACTGCAGCTTCCCGCACTGCGCATCTCTGGGAAGCAAGCGAAGGGTGTTCAGACAGAGCGGAGTGTATCCCTGCCCCACGCCACACCCCAGCTTCTGCTCTCTCTGCTCCTCTCCCCACCTCCTCGTACAAGGCTGGTAGTGGCCCTCTTCATTCCGGCCGCAGTTGCCTCTGGCGTCTCCTGCCAAGTTCACCGCATGGAAACAGGCCTCTGGGGCTGGGCGAGAGCCTGGGGGAAGCAAGGGTCCATGGATGGAGACCACGCTGCCCCTGCCCTCAGTCCACGCCCCGCCCCGCACCCCGGACCCCGCCCATCTTCCCTAGAGTAGAAAAGTCCTCAGCCCCAATGATAGGAACGGGTGCAAAGGGCGCGCGCGGCTTCTCACCAGGCCCCCAGAGCTGCTGGCACTGCTGCTCGAGCGTGGGACACGCGCCATCCCGGCAGTAGCCGCGGCCGCTGGCGCAGGGCGAGCCATCCAGTAGGTAAATGTCGGGGGGACAGTAGGGAGAGGCGCCCGTGCAGAACTCAGGGAGGTCACAGTCTCCCGCAGCCCGACGGCATGGCGCGCCCGCCGGCTTCAGCTATGCAGGTGACCCGGGTGGCGGGAGAGCGGCCGAGGCACAGAGAGACAATGGACAGTGAGAGATCCACGCCGACATCGAGGCTCAGAGGCGGGATAGCCCGGCTAGAGAGCCAGGTGAACCAAAACGCAGAACAAAGCCGACACCCAGGGAAGCCGATCAGCCAGAACAAAAAGGTTGGCTCCCCAGAGCCCGTCGACCCTCGCCTTCGAGACTCCCATCCCCTCACCAGGCAGCTCGAGCAGCAATCCCCGTGGGAGCACTGGGCCCCCTCGCGCAGCGAGCAGTTGTGGGCGAAGCAGCAGGGGTCGGGGCACTCCTGGAGCGGAAAAGGCAAGAAGGGACCAGGTAAGGGAGTAGCGCCCCGGACCTTGGGGGAAGGGGCGGACACGCGGACCTAACCTGGCCCCCGCCGCAGTCGCACTCCTCGCCCTCCTCCAAGAAGCCGTTTCCGCAGCGCGCCGGCGGCAGCAGGAGCCCGGAGTCGGGCGCGTTGGAGAGGCACGCTCCGCCTCCCTTGCGGAAGAAGGCGCGCAGCTGGCGGCGGCTGCAAGCGCTGAACACGCGGGGGAACGGGTGCCTACGGCGGGAAGGGCGTCGGGGTGTGCAGGGACCACGCCCCTTAACGCTCTGATGGTCTCTGATCCCCTCCCCTCGCTCCCCCCACCCTGCGCCACCACAACCACCCGTGCTGGGCCACACAGCCGCGGGTGCGTGACAGGCGGCTCTAATCCTCTAGAGGCAGAACGCAAAGTGGGTAAGTAACCCGAGCAAAGTCGCACAGAGAGCCCGAGGCGGGAGGGTGTGACGCCAGGAGCCGGCAGCCCAGGGCCGAAAGTCAGATGCGGACCCAACTCGGCCAGTGCTGCAGGAGTAACCTCGCTAGGTTTTCCCGAAAAGAATCTTTATACTCTTGGGAATCCACTTTCCTTGTGCTTCCTCCATTTAAGCCTCATAAACAACTCAGGGCGCGTACTATGACCATATACCCATTTTCTAGAAGAGGAAACTAAGAGGTAAGCATTCTCCCGAAGGAAAGCAGCCGAGGAAGGGCCCCAGGTCTAGTGGAGTCTCCCCAGCAGCCCCTCTCCCCCCTAGAAGGTCGCCGTACCCAGTGGCCGCTGCCATGACGCAGCCACCAGGCTCAGCTGCCACCTCCACGCAGCAGCCTTCAGGGTCGTGGCTGAGGCCAAGGCTGTGGCCTATCTCATGGGCCATGGTAGCTGCAGCGCCAATGGGGAGCTCCGAGTGATCCTGGGAGGGCGTGGGGACGGTCACTGCTGGCTGAGAAGACCGCCCCCCCCCCCGCCCCCGCCCCCCCACCCCCCAAGCACCGCACCTGTCCTCCCGTCCAGCCCCAGGCAGCGCTCACCGTGCTCACGCCTCCAGAGCTCTCTGCAAGGCACATGCCTTCGACGGGCGCCAGGCCCACGGTGTTACCCCGGAAAGTGCGGCCCCTGAGGGCGGAGTGCAGCGTGACCGGGCAATGCCAGGAGGGGGTGCTGCCCAGTGGGGTACCCGCGTGGGGATGGGAGGCACCCACGTGAGCAGCTGTGTGGAGTCGTGTGGCAACCGTGCTAACAGCCCCTGGCGCCACTGCAGGAAAGCCCAGAGTGTGACGTTTGCATCCAGCATCACCTGGCTCTGGTCCTGCTCAGTCCATACTTCCAGGCCAGTCAGTACCACCTGAATGTCCAGAGTCCTGAGAATCTGCGGTCAGGGCAGGACGGGCCTGAAGCAGGGGACCAGGCTACCACCTTGCTGGTGGCCCATCTCTTTCCCCTACATTCTCTCTCATCACCAGGCCTGCCTCCTCCAGCTAGGACCTGCCCCGGCTGTAGCTGTCATTCCCATTAAGTCTATCGTCCCACCCACCCCCTCAACCTGGTCCACGTAGCTGGCGATCTCCAGGAGACGCTGTTTGGTGTGGTTCAAGTCCCGGTGCTGGGTCAAGAACTGGAAAGGCACCAATATGGTGGTATGACAGGTTGAGCTGGCCCCATTCAGTCCCCACAACCCCCTGAGACTCCTCTCACCAGGGTGTGGTCGGCCACTATGTACAGCTCCAGGTACCTCAGGCTTCTGCGGAACCCCCGCCTGTCCTGGAGAGAGGCAACAGTGACCCTGAGTGACAGGCTGCTGGGCTTGAGCCTTGACCACCAACCCGAATCCCCAGAAAGCACAAAGTTAACTTCAAAATTTTGCTAGCCCTGGCTGGTGTGGCTCAGTGGATTGAGCACCAGTCTGTGAACCAAAACAGCCCTGGTCAGGGCACATGTTTGGATTGAGGAACAGGTGCCCATCTTGGGGCGTGTAAGAGGCAACCAGTCAATGTACCTCTCACACATTGATGTTTCTCTCCCTCTTTTTCTTCTTCCCTTCCCCTCTCTCTAAAAATAAATAAAATCTTCAAAAAAACTAAAATAAAATTTTGCTAGAACTTGTTTCTTCAGCCTCCAAGTAAAAATATCATGACAGGAGACCCTGAACTGGAGCCGCACATTCCTGTCTCTCTGACTTGGAGGGCTAAGGATACTGCCTTTCCACGCCCACCCCTGTCTGTGCCCCTAACCCTGATCTGGGTGTCATGAAAAAGGCTGGTCATGGTCCATTTGTCTCTGGGATCCCTGTGGCCACAGGCCCCTTTCCAGCTAAGCAGCTGCTCTGTCCGGAAGATCCTGTGGGTTGAGACATCCTCTGCATCCCCAGCTGGCCAAGGATGCACGTAATAGCTGGCTTTGCTGCTGAGAGTGATCAGGCCCCTAGGGTGCAGAGGGGTGCAGAAGGCGGTGTGAGAGAACACTTACCCCAGCCCCAGGCTCAGCCCCCTCCCCTGCCGCTCCTTACCTCATCCCAGAGCAGATGCTCAGGACCACCCAGGAGTCTGGGAAGCCCCTTACACGGCCGTGATAGTGACAATGATCCTGGAGAGCAAGGGACCCAGCCTCAAATCTCAGCCAGGACTGAAGTGGGAGGGGCAAGAGAGCAGGCATGGTGGGGGCCTGGCTCCAGCCTCTCCTTAGGAACAGGAAGAGAATGAGGAAGGAATGGTGGAGAGGCCCTCAGGGAGGGCATCCCCCAGCCTCCCTCACCCTGTCCTCAGCGCCCATGGAAGTATCTCACCGTGTGGTTGGGGACCAGCACCACTGGCTGCCCATCTGGACTGTAGTGGGTTTCTGTGTATCCTGTGGCCAGCAGCCTGCTGGGAAGGGGTATTGTAGGAATCACCTAATCCAGCTTTGCCTTCTCCAGGATGCCCTCCAGCCTTCCTTTCTGAATGCTAATTGAGCAGCTCTATGAGTGAGGCACAGGGCTAGCACTTAAGAAGCATCCAAGGTGTATCTTAGGAAAGGGACAGAAGTGAATGTGTATTGCTTAGCTCAGAAAAACTGAACTAGAAGGAGAAAAGTGAAAGGCAGGAAGGAGCCTTAGTGATGGCTTAGATATGGGAAGTGGGCATGTGGGAAGCATCAGGGAGGAGCAGCAATAGGGGCAGAGTTTGTGGTCCTTGAGGAGCCGGTGGCAGGCAGCTGGATCCCCAGGTCTGGGGCTGGGGAGGACTCGGGAGACACTGCTGAAGAGGTGGGACTTGGAGCTAAGGAAGTGGGGTTGAACTCCCTAGGCAACCCTTTCTGCTGCTTACTATTGTCGGGCATCTGGTCAACTCTCTCGTCTACCTTGCAGTTTCAAGGATCCTTCACATCTTCCCCTCTGGCCTGCAGACCCCACATATCTTTCCAGCTGTCCTTCAATGATATTCATCCCCTCAATGATTCCGTCTTTGGGCCTCATCTCACCAGGATCCTTCCCACCAAAATGGATCAACCATAAATCAATCTCTCTTCTTTAAAGAAAATCCTGACCCCACCTTGCCTTGGCCTCTGTATTACCAGGTTGCCCCAGAAATCTGTGATGCCTGTTTCTCTACCTCCCAGTCCTCCCTTCACCTTATCAGCCTTTGCTCCTCACTCCACGCACACATACAACCCTAGGGGGTAAGTGATATAATCAGCCCATTTAATGCATGGGGACACAGAACCCCAGAGAAACTGTGATTAGGCATGGTGGAACCCATTTGTTCCTAGTCTACCTGATTCCATGGGGAGATGTATAGAGCACTTAGAGCAGTGCCTGCAATGAAACAAGCACTTGATAAATAAATACTGCTGCTAATATAGTCTGAATGGTTTTTAAGTTCCCATGCCCCGCCTTGGACACCCACTCCATCCAGCCCAGCTCTGCCTGCTCATTTACCAACTCAAAGTCTTTGGCTCTGCACCATCCAGGATACTTAGCACTAAAATGGCCTTCTGTGACCTGGCTCCCACTGGGACTCCCCAAACATGTTTTCTGTTGCTCCCTTCCATGCAGAGAGAGAGACCCTCTGGGCAGGCCAGACAGACTGATCTTTGTACCCACTGCATCTCTGTCCCTGTCATTCCATTAGCTTGGAGTGCCTGCCCATCTTTGAGACCTGTCTTGGATTCTCTTTTGACTCAGGGTTCTTTTCTAGAACCCATTAGATAATGCCCATTCATTTCCGGCAGGGAGCTGGCAGGATACTCCTGGGGCCTGGAGGAGGGATGTGCCCCACAGCAGGGCTGACCAGCCCAACACTCCACTTTAGCCTCAAGGGAGCCTGTCATGGGCTGGTGTGACTCTCCTGTCCCTTGAACCTCCTCAGGGCCCTCAACCCTTCCAGCCTCCCTCCTGGGTTCCCATCAGTCCCCGCCCCTACCACTGTTCCCCCATCCCACCTCCCCAGAGACAGAGGGGCTGTCTCGGCTCCCAGCCCCCTCCCCGACCTGCTACTCACTGGTTCTTCTCCAGCTCCAGCAGGAGTTCCTGGCCTTCAGCTTCCAAGGCTACAAGCCCCTTGTCCAGCTTCAAGACCTGGGCAAGAAAGAGCACAGGGCTGAGGCGGCAGGCAGCCTGGTGCTTCTGCCTGCCCGGGAGCCAGGAGGATGTGGAGCCAGCTGCCAGGGAGGTCATGGGGAGAACATGGGAGCGAGGGACAGAAGGGCCCCCACTTGCCCTGGTGGGCATGAGTGGGCGTGGGGGTGAGAACATGCAGACAAAGATGTTCCCAAACTCAGGATGTTTGCTGTTCCTACAAGAGCCACTAGACAATGCCTGCTAGGTACACGCCACTTCCTTTCTAGAGAGACTAGGGGTCCCAGAAAGGTGCCCTGCCTTGCTCTAGGTTACTGGGCCCTTCCTCTGGCCCTCCCTCCTCTTTCATGAGTAGGTTTGCTTCTTCTAGGCAGGGAGGGGCGTCCTGAAGACAGTGCAGCATCAGGTGGTATGGGCGTCACATAGCCACGGCTCAGGCTGCCCCACAACCTCTTATTTCTGTATCTTGCTTCTGCTCACTCCCTGCAGAATTCAGACTTTACCCCTCCATCTCCAGTCCTGACAAACTGCCAGGCCCTGTAATTTTCCCTGGTCTCCATCATGCTCACCCACACCTGCTTCACTGATCCTATGAAGTAAACACAGACCCCTGTCCCAAGCTAAGAGGAAAACACAGGCTTTCTCAGCCAGCTCTCAGGAGGTGGCCCAGACCAGCCTGGCAGCCTCTCCTTCCCTACCCTCTTCGTCTCTTCCACGCTGTGCGAAGACCCCATCTTGCCTCCCTTGTCCACTCAGTCTGGCTGGGGACCCAGAGCTGAAGCCAGTCCAAGAGCCTCCTGGAGAGCTGCTGTGTCTTTGGAATGCTGGCCCAACTCTCTCTGGCCCTTCCTTTTTAGCCCACAATGCACTGGACTGGGCCGAAGGCCAAGGGGCTCACAGCCTTGGAGTCTGGGCTCTTCCACAGCAGGTGGGGAGCAGACAGCTCCCTGTCCCAGCCAAGAGCCCAGCAAGGCCCCAAGCATGAGCTCATGGGGCTGGAATGCCCCTTGCTTTATTGGAGAAATGTTTATATGAAGGACGGGTGGCAGCCCAAATGAAAAGCCTCCTTCCATCACCCCCACACCCCAGAATCCCCTCTCCGTTCCTCTGCTCGCCTGCTGCCCTTACTTCTTGCCCTCCTAGTGGCTTTACCCCTCCCTATGCACCCCATCCTTGACCTGAAATGTGTTTCCTTCCTCTGGGACAGGACTCCCTGCCTCAGCACTGTCCTCATCTTGGCAGGCTTCCTGGGGAAAGGGGCCTGGAAGTGGGAAAAGCAAGGCCCCTCTGAGATTCCCCTCCTGCTCACAGCCCAGGAGAATTCACAGTCAGGGTGACCCCAGTGTGTGCCCAGCCTTTCCCTCTGCTGGTGAGATCCAGAAGAATGCCCTCAAAGCTTGGACCAGCACCATGCTTGACCACTTGAATGGGGACCCTGAGGGTGTGGGGGACCAAGTGGGGCCCTAGGCTGGCAACTGTGGGCCTCTGGGAGCCTCCCAGCCTGCACTGCGGTGCTCACCTGCCTTTCTCTTTGCTGGCTCGGACAGAGGGCTGTCCTTTCTGGCCTGAAAATTCAGGATGAAGCGGGCTCTCCAAACTTGGGGGACACAAGCCAATGGTTTGAAGTCTTTCAGACCCTTTGGGTCTCAGACTTCTGGGCTAAAGAACTGTGAACTAGGGCAATTTCTCCAACGTCTCTGGGCTTCGGTGTGCCCCTCTGTGAAATGGGCACACGGAAGCCACTGACCCCCTGCTTAGTAGAACAGCTGTTGTGGCACATGCAGATGGGGCTGTGACTGTTCTGGAAGTGCAAGATGGGCGGGTGTTGGGAGAAGGCTGGGGCAGAGCATCCCAGCGAAGCAAAATGTGGTGAGCTTACAGCTGAAGGCCACCAAGAGAATGACCACTGCCCTCGGACAGAAGCGGATGCTTCGTGAGCCAGTGAGGCTGAAGTTTCAGGCCCCTCACTGGCAGGGGCCTGAGGGGGGGCAGCAATGTGTCTGTCTACAGAGCCCCATGTTCTGGTAAACTGTAAAAGGAAGACATTTGGGCGTTTTCTTAAAGAGGTCCCTGAAGTTCATGCCTCACGATCTCTGCCTGATGGGATGGGGGTGGCTTGGATGGCTTTGGGAAGGGAGAGAAAGAGGCGGGGTAAGGGGGAGCCTGAAAATGACTTCCATGTGTGCAGGCTCACGCAGTCTCGATGTCTCCCCGCCCCTGCCTGCCAGCCCTTCTTGAGGGGAGCCTAAAGGACTGGGAGGAAGAATCTAGGGAACCCAGTAAAACTGCCACACTGAAATGTGGGGAGGGGCAACAGGGCGGGGAGACCCTGGGGCCCTGCCGAGGAAGGAATGATGTGGCACTGACCGGCTCCTCCAGGGTGACCGGGCGCCGAGGTTGTCCATCCAGGACCCAGTGAGGGGTGACTGGCTCTCCAGGGATGTTTTCTGGTGTGAGAAGAGAGCACAGGGTGAGGGGAAACCTGAGGAACAGAGGGGAGTGGGGAGCACAGAGGGACGGGGTCAGAGGACCGCAGCGGGTAGGAACGTCCATCTTCAACAATCCATGGGGTGTCCTTGGAGCTGAGGGGCATCCAGGGAGGTGGCAGAAGAGAGAAAGAGGAGCCTAGGAAGGAGAGTTCAGCTGGGGATGCAGGAGCCCCGCTGACCCTGGGGGAAGGCTTGGGTCAAAGGTCACAAGGAAGAGACCAAGACTACCAGTGCCGGTGGAAGGAAAAGAAAAGCAAAGTAGCCTCGGGTATTTTTAGACTAAGCAGCAGATGCCTTTAGGGTGAGAGATCTGTGAAGAGAATGCCTCTGTCTTCACCACCCTCCGAGGAAAACAACAGCTAGATGTTTTGGGAGGCCCACCTTGCTCACAGCTGCCCTTGGGAGCTTCATGCTGGTGGTAAGGCTTCCAGGGACCCTGGCCCAGACGCCCCCTCCTCATGTCTTCAGAGGGAGGAGAAGGGGGACAGAGCCTGAGTGCACCCAGGCTGGGTGTGCTCCAGGGGTTCCAGGAGGAATACCAGAGCCAAGCATTACTCAGAGGAGGCTGGAATGCTCCCCTGGAATGCTCCCAACCCCTCCCCCACAAGGCCCCAGTAACTCTCATTACACCGGCCCTGCAGGAGCCAGGCCCCAGGCAGCCCAGAGCAGCAGGCGGCCCTCCTTCCCTCCAGCACTCAGTCCTGGGGAAGCCCAGATCCCAGAACTGACAGCTCCCTGCAACTCCTTTCCCAATCTCTGTCTTTTCCCCCAGACCCCATCATCAAAGACCTAGAATAGCAGCTGCTCTAGGAGTTCCCTTCCCCCAAGAAGCCCTCCCTGATTGGATGAGTGAGTTGCCATCAAGCAGTTGCCATCAGACTGGGGCCAGTATGGAGAGGGGCCTGAGTTCTGGGTAGAGGGAGTTTCTCTCAGCCCAGAGCAGACTTAACTGGATGTGGAGAACCAGTTCTTGCTGGGCCCTGGCCTCCCAGGGACGAGAGGGGAGGGTATGGGTTGGGGGTTCTCCTCATGGCCTTGCACACACATACTGGCCACTGGCACCTCCACGGGGGAGAAGGAGGCAGAGATGGAGTCTGGTGACTAGGTGGATGGGAACAGAAACTGGGGGAGCCAGTGTCGCATTGGGGAGCCAGCGTGGTGTTGGGGGGCTTAGAGCCCGTCCCCATTCACCCTAGGGGTTGCATTACCCTCCCCTCACTCCAGAATGAGGAGGGGGAATCGGTGGGATGCGTGGGGACCACCACCATGAGCATGAGGGGTGCCGTCCCTCCCTCTGGGGGTCCAGAGCCCATCAGGACCCTATCCCTGTTGGGTCCCCCATCCACAGTGCTCTGCAATGTCCCCCCTTCTCTCCAGCCTTCCCATCCCAGGCTTTTCTGCCTCCTCCCTGGCCCCTCGTAGGTACTGGACGTACAGTACTCCACCAATCCCCCCACCCCCTCAGAGAAGCTGCTGTTACCAGCCCCATTTCACAAAGGGTTTGGAGAAGTTACACTGGGAAGAGACTGAGCTCAGTTCCATCCCCCCTCCCCTTCCTCCCCTGCCCTGCTAAACAGGCACCTTCTGTGAGAAGCCCTCCTTCTGTATCTAACCAAGCAAGGCAACAATATAAACAATATACGCACTGTCCCAAGGCACTGGGATGGGGAGTGAACTTGGGCGAGTGTGGAGGTCACAGTCAGTCCCCTAGTCTGAGATCACAGCAGGGACTCCAGAGGGCCAGTGGAGGAGGACCCTTGAGCCCTAACGGCTGGAGGTGCAGGGATGTTCCCACCGGAGGATGGGGCCTGGGGGTGGTTCCAACCTGAGGATGCAGGCAGAGAGGTTTGAGGGTTGGGCGGCTGCTCAGAGGGTAAGGAGCCCTGCCACTCTGTTTTGTCGTGGCACAGTGGCAGCTGGGCAAAGGGTGCAAGTCTGGGCCCCGGTCCCAGGTAAAGGTGAGACTCCCTAGGCAAGTCCCCGGGACAGCTTCCCAAACCCTCCCCGTTCCCGGTCCTGGCCGCCGGTTGCCGGGCCAGGTGTGGGGGTAGTTCAAACGCTGCATCCCCTGACAGTGACCAAGCCTGCCGCTCGGGGCGCGCTCACACTCACCACGAAATGTCTCGGCCCCCCACACCGGCCACAGCAGTCGCAGTAGCAGCCGCAGCAAGGCCGGAGACCCTGGAGCCCTCCGAGACCCCCGGCCCATTGCTGCGAGCGCCGGGACTTCTACGCTGCGGCTTCGGCTCCCGGCTCCCGGTTCCCGGCCCTCGGCCCCGCCCCCGCTGGATCGCCGCCGACGCACGCCCTGTGCAGCTGGCCCGCCGCCTCCGGACCCTCCCGCGCCCACGTCTCCGCCCGCACCCCTCGCTGTGCGTCCTCAGCGGATCCCGCCCTGACCATGGCCGTCAGAACCCGAGCTCGCGCGCCCCTGGGGAGCCTGGACCACCCTCCCGGCCGGAGCGGCCCTCCAAGGGCCAGAGCTTGCCTGGGCGGGGCGGGAGCGGGAATCTGTGCGGCCCCTCTCAGGGAACCGGCCTGTGTTATCCAACCCCAGAGGCCTCAGAGAGTGTCGGGGCGGAGGGTAAGGATGGGGTGCGGACCCTCGGAAAAAGACTCAAGGACCATAGCAGAGGGGACAGTGGCCAGGGCTCGTGGACCACCTGTTGCAGCTCCGGTCTTCCCAGGAGCGTCACCTACTCCGTGATCTCCTGGGACTGTCTGCCAGAGGCGCCCTGGCTAGACCCTGGCAGAAGTGTCCCTAGGAGAAGGGAGTCCGGGGCGACCGCAACAGGTGCGGCCGCGGCCCCGAGCTAGTCAGCCTCTGTGTCCCGGTGGCCACCAGCCCCGCGGCGCGCGCGGGTGGGCGAGGCGAGCCCGTGGAGGCTGCGGTCCTGCCCGCTCTGCGCTTCGTGAAGGCGAGGCGGCCCGACTGGCGCGCGGATGCGTCCTTTTGTCCCTGGCTACGGCCGGGGGGCAGATTGTACAAAACCTTGGACTCCAAGATGTCAGGCATCCCTTCAGCCTCAGCAACATCTGTTTCTTGTTTTAAAGGTTTGTGTACTGAATAATAAATTCGGGTAGCGAGCAGCAAGTATTCCCATAGCGAGAATGTTAACTTTTAAGCAAATCTATTTGTTTTTGAGAAATCAAAGTGAGGCAATTCAGCAAGGGTTCCCGCTGCAGGGGACATTTATGTTCACCCGATTCAAACACCAAAAACTGTAAGACGTTTAGGGAACATCCCTCCTCCCTCTTCTGTGTCCATCTTCTCAGCCCACATCCCCCAGCAGGAAGGCACTAATTATTAGTACAGGTTTTAGATTATTTTATGCATTCCCAGGATAATACAGACATTTTTTCTCTAGCATTTTTCTACACCTTGATTTTTTTTTTCACTTAATACACCTTGGAGATTCTTTGCATCAGTGAATTTAGAGTGGTCTTATAATCACTATTCTCATAATTATTAAGGTATAATTTACATACAATAAAATGCACCTAGCTCTGGCTGGTGTGACTCAGTGGATTGAGTGTCGCGAGGTCCCCAGTTCAAGTGTTAGTTTGTGGGTCAGGTCCCCAGTTGGGGGCCTGCAAGAAGCAACCGATTGATGTATCTCTTGCACATTGGTTTTTTGCTCCCTCTCTTTCACCCTCCCTTCACCTCTCTCTAAAAATAAATAAATAAAATCCTTTTTTAAAGGCACCTATATGTCATGTTCAGTGAGATGAGTTTTTTAAACTACACTCTTTTTTAAAAATTGATTTTAGTGAGGAAGGGGGAGGGAGAGAGAAACATCAATTTGTTGTTCCACTTCCGTATGCATTCATGGGTTGATTCCTGCAGGTACCCTGACCTAGGATCCAACCTGAAACCGTGACTAATGGGAACAACACTCTAACCAACTGAACTACCCAGTCAAGGCAATTAGGTGAGTTTTGATAAATTTATGCACCTGTGCAATCACCACCACAATCCACATACAACACTCTCATCACTGAGAAAGTCCCCTTGCGCCCCTTCCCAGTCGGCCCCTCCCACTCCCAACTCCAGGCAACCACTGGTTTTCCTGTCTATAGATAGGTTTTATGCATTTTAGAACTTCATAGAAATGGAACCTTAAAACATGTACTCTTGTGTCTGGCTGCCTTCTTTCTTCATGTTTTTGAGATTCATTTACATTGTTTAATATATCGTTTGTTCTTTTGTAGTGCTGAGTTTGTTCCATGGTAGAGGGAAGTATGTTCCTCTATCCTCCAATTAGCATTTAGGATCTTCCAGTTTGGGGCTTTTAAATTTTTTTAAATTTTATTTTATGTTTTATCCTCACCCAAGGATATGTTTATTGATTTTTAGGAAGAGAGGAGGAAGGGGGTGGCAGGGGGAAGAGAGACAGAAAGAGAAACATCAGTATGAGAAAGAAACATCCATCGTTGCCTCCCACACATTCCCCAACCAGGTGTCAAACCCACAACCTAGGTATGTGCCCTGACTGGGGATTGAACCCCCAACCTCTTTGGTGCCTGAGATGACGCTCCAACCTACTGAGCCACCCAGCCAGGGCTGGGGCTTTTTAAAATACAGCTGTTACAGAATTGCTGTGTAAGTCTTTGTATAAACACATGTTTTCATTTCTCATGTGTAAATACCTAGTAGTAGAATTGCAGGGTCATATATGGTAAGGGCATAATTTACTATTTTAAGAAGTTTTTTCCAAAGTGGCTGTACCATTTTATATTCCCACCAGCAATATATGAGAGTTCCAGTTTCTCTACATCCTCACCAACATTTGGTGTTGTTAATCTTTTAAATTTTAGCCATTCTCGTGGATGCATAGGATCCTCATCCTTTTTTATAGTTGAATGCTACCATTTATTTGTACAGTCCCCTCTTGGGCATGTATATGGTTTCCAATACCTCTGTGCTCACAAACAATGTTGTGATGGATAATTTTATGCATAAGTTTACCTGTGAGATGATTTTCTACAAGCCGGATTACTGGGTCAAAGGATATGTGTATTTGTGATTTGTGTAGATACAGTTAAATTGTGCCTCCCAACTTGTGCCAGTTTATGACATCTGGATTGTTTGTTTTCCCACAGCCTTACCAATGCAGTTATCAAACTCTGATAGGATTTGCTAGTCTGAAAGTGAAAGTGCAGTCTTAACTTGCATTTCTCTTATTATTGAGGTTAGTATCTTTTTTTACTGATTATGCTATTACAGGTGTCCCAATTATTCACCCTTTGCCCCCCTCCACCCAGCACCTCCCACTCACTCTGGCCATCCTCCCTTTCTTTGTTCATGTCCATGGGTCATGAGTGTAAGTTCTCGGGCAACTCCATTTCCTATACTTGCTCTTAACATCCCCTCTGCCTATTCTGTAAATACCAATTTGTACTTCTTAATCCCTTCATCTTTTCCCCCCATTCCCCCAGACCGCCCTCCCCGCTGGCCACCATCCCAATATTCTCCATATTTATGATTCTGTTTCAGTTCTACTTGTTTGCTTAGTTTGTTTTTAGGTTCAATTTTTGATAGTGATGTATATATTGCCATTTTAATGTTCATAGTTTTGATCTTTTTCTTAAATAAGTCCCTGTAACATTTCAAACAATAAGAGCTTGGTGATGATGAACTCCTTTAGCTTTACCTTGTCTGCGAAGCACTTTATCTGCCCTTCCATTCTAAATGATAGCTTTGCTGGATAGAGTAATCTAGGTTGTAGGTCCTTGCTTTTCATCACTTTGAATACTTCTTGCCAATTCCTTCTAGCCTTGAGTTTCTTTTGAGAAATCAGCTGACAGTCTTATGGGAACTCCTTTGTAGGTAATTATCTGCTTTTTTCTTGCTGAAGGTTCTCTCTTTATCTTTAACCTTTGGCATTTTAATTATCATGAGTCTTGGTATGGTCCTTTTTGCATCCGTCTTGTTTGGGACTCTCTGTGCTTCCTGGACTTGTACGTCTATTTCCTTAACCAAATTAGAGGAGCTTTCTTTTATTATTTTTTCAGATAGATTTCCTATTTCTTGCTCTTGCTCTTCCTCTTCTTGCACCCCTATGATGTGAATTTTGGATTGCTTGAAGCTGTCTCAGGGGTTCCTTACACTGTCCTCATTTTTTTTGGATTCTTTTTTCTGTACTGATTGGATGTCCTTTTCTTCCTTATGTTCCAAATCATTGATTTGATTCTCAGTTTCACCCATTCCTCTGTTGATTCCCTATAAATCATTCTTTATTCCATGTGGTGTCTCCTTCACTCCTGATTGGATCATTTTATGCTGTTCAAGCACCCACTGAGTTCCTTGAGCATCCTTATAACCAGTGTTTTTAACTGTGCATCTGATAAATTGCTTATTTCCATTTTGTTTAGTTCTTTTTCTGGAGTTTTGTTCTGTCCTTTCATTTGGGCCATATGCTTTTGTCTCATCATTTTGGCAGTCTCCCTGTGTTTGTTCCTACATATTAGGGAGAGCTGTTTTGACTCTGTGTTTTAGTAGCATGGCCTAATGCAGTATGTGTCCTGTAGGGTCTATATAGCTTGATTTTCTGATGGTTCTGAGTGATATTTGTTCTGTGGTTTAGCTGTAATTTTGCTTTGGTTGTGTGAGGAGGCAAGCCACATTTACCTAGACTTTCACCTTGACTGGAAGTCCCTAGTAAGGTTAATATCTGTTCAAACACTTAAAAGCCATTTGTATTTATTTTTCCCTAAACTGCCTGTTCATATCACAGCCCATTTTCCATTGAATTGTTGTTCTCTCTTAACTTGAAGGAGATCTTTATACACAAGGGTGATCAATCCTTTGTTTATGAGTATGAGTTGCAAATATTTTTCCGTTTATGTAATGTATCCAGCCTTTTGTTCATTTATTTTCTTTGCTGGGTAGTATTCAATTGTGTGGCTATACCCACATCTTATCCCCATCATTTCTACTGTGGCTGGACATTTGAGTGGTTCCTAGTTTTGAGATGTTACAAAAATTGCTGGTGTGAACATTCAAGTGTTTGTGTCTTTAGCTCCCTTTCTTTGCCTATTCTGCTCCTCCCACCCTTGTACTGGATTCCCCTGGGAACATGTTCTTAATAAGTCATTTATGCATGAAATCTCATCTTGGGGACCAGATTTAATACAGACATAGATGGCTTTGGTCACACAGGAGGCTCCAGTGAAGACAGGCTGGAAAGGGATCAATCCCTCCCCCTGTGGATGACTAAATGGAGTCACCGTGGATCCTAACAGCACCCCTCCAAGACAGAATTCCCTGATTCTTCTGCTGGTTAAGCCAGGGGGCAGAGAGCAAGGCATTCTGTCATACCCAGGGTCCGTTTTGCTCTCTCTTCTTGTTGGGGGGGGATTGGGGGTAGAGCAGCAGTGGACAAAGAGACCCAGGCTTTCATCTTGAACCAGGAACACAAATGAAGATTCCAAAGGAGAATGTGAATCTTGAGAAAGAAGAAGCCCTAACCATAGGAAAGGAAACAGTCCTGAAGGGGAGAAGAGGGAAGCAGCCAAGAAAACCCCAGAAATCACAGGGACAGCACAATACCAAATGTATGTCCTGGAAGGACCTGACAAGGGGTTGGAGGTGGCTTGAGCACAAAATAAGCTGGGGATCAGGATAGCAGAACAGACCTCAGAGTCACAGAGGGGAGACCTTAGTGTGGGCATCAGGAGAGAGGCAGGCAGGACCCTCTCTCCTCTGGCAAGAATACAGTCCACTGATGAACTCCTACTCACACTGCAAGCGGCAGTTTTGGTGACTCCTTGTCAGTTAGGGTGGACTCTAACCAGAGCCTGGCAATTGTCCCTTGCACTATACTTTTCGCTGTACCACATTTCACACAGCATCATAGTTGCCTCTTGTCTCTCTCTTCCAGACCCTGAGCTTCATGTCTTTTGTTCACTGCCTACTACAGAGCCTGGCACACTGTCAGTGCTGATAAAATGAGGGGGACAGGTAGACTGAGAGCTGTGAGGGAATTGAAGCCATCCTCGCCAAGTGAATGCTCTAACCCAGATGAGCTATGTCCAGGCGCATCAGAAGAATTTTCTGCTGAAATCTCAGAACAATTGCTTATTTACATTTGGGGATAGCAGAGGAGGGGGTAGAGCCATTGGACCAAAGTTGAGAAAGATAGATCCTAGAGGTGTCATTGATCAGCTCAGTGTTCATGACTGATAACACCATGAGAAATATGATTTCTCAAATGCTTTGTTGGTATCACTCTCTGGGGGCAATGGGAAGTGCCCTGGGAAGAAGACAAACTAGTGACAGCTGTATCTTTGAAGTGCTCATATAATGAGCAATGCCCATCACCTGCAAATAGGACTTATCCTGAAGAGTGAAGAGTCCAAGGGAAGCACCACTAACTCCAGCCCATGGAGATGTCATGCCAATGCTTGGGTGCATCAGAAAATGTCACACATGTGAACAGTGCATTCAGAGGAGAACATGATGCCCCATGACAAAGTGAAGAGAGTACTTTAAAAAAAAAAATCTGTACTCAGATGTAATTTGGGTAGAATTCCATGAAAGGTGGAAGATTTTTTAAAACCACCTCATTGAAGTACTGTTTAATATATTTTCAGAAAACTGTGTGTCCTAAGTGCCCAGCTCAGTGACTTTTCACAGAGTGAACACACCATAAAACCTGCACCCAGACCAAGAAACCTCACTGTCTGCTCCCTGAAAGTCCCTTTATCGTCCCTCCCAGTCATGGCCTTCCCCTATAAATAACCACTATTTTTACTTTATCACCACCAATTAGCTTTGAACTTCATGAGACTGGAATCGTGCAGTCTACACTGTTTAGTGTCTGACACCTTTCACTCAACATTATGTTTGGGAGCGTTGCCCATAACATGTATAGTAGTAGTTCCTTCTCATTTCTGTGTAATATTCTATTGTGTAAACATAGCACAATTCATTTTTCCATTCTATTGTCAATGTGCATTTGTTATTTCCCATTTTTGGTTATTATGAATAGTGTGATTGTAAACATTCTAGTACAATCACATGGTGAACATAAACCCTTGTTCTTTTTTGAGTAAATATCCAGGGAGGAAATTCAGGGCAGGAGTATTTTAGCTTTAATACGATATGATAGATATGATAAACCGTTTTCAAAAGTTATTTTATATTCTGTATGATTCCATTTGTATAGAAGTTCAAAAACAAGCAAATAAAGTCTGTGGTGTGAGAAGTCAAGAGAGTGATTTTCTTGGGGGATTGTGACTTGGAGGGATCAGAAGGAAGACTCTGGGGTCCTGATGATCAATGGACTATTTCTTGATCTAGGTGCTGGTTCCATGGGTTTGTTAACTTTTTTAAAAAATCATTGAGCTGTACAGTTATAATGTGTTTACATTTTTGTATGTGTGTCACACTTGAATCAAAGTTTATTTTTAGAGTCTTGCTATTTTCCTCCCTGTCTGCTTGAAGACCGGCCACCATCATGAACGACACAGGAACCATCCGCACCAGGAAGTTCATGACCAACAGAGTATTTCAGTGAAAACAAAGGGTCATTGACATCCTTACCCTGGGAAGGCAACAGTACCCTAGACAGAAATTCAGAGAAAACTAGCCAAAATGTATAAGACCACACCAGCTGGCATCTTTGTGTTTGGATTCAGAACCCATTTTTGTGGTGGAAAGACAATTGGCTTTGGCATGATTTATGATTCCTTGGATTATGCAAAGAAAAAAAGAACCCAAACATAGACTTGCAAGACATGGCCTATATGAGAAGAAGACAACCTCAAGGAAACAGAGAAAGGAACGCCAGGACAGGATGAAGAAAGGCAGGGGGACAGTGAAGGCCACTGTTGGTGCTGGCAAAAGCGAGCTGGAGACTGGGCAACAGAAGGAGTACAGACGCCACAGCGACTTTACCTGTGCTGACTGGGCAGATTTTTCATGAAAGGATTAATAAACTTGAAACTTTTATGTGAAAAATAAAATAAAAGTCTTAAGGAGCCTCAGGCCAATGGGGGTGGACATAATGAAGCCCTCTGAGAACTCTCCTGGCCCAGATGGACCTATGCCTCCTCAGAGGTACACCAAAGCAGATAAAGATTTTCAAATCAAATGTTCCCAGGTTTCCCAGCAGCCACCCCTTCGGCCACGTGTGGTACTCCCCTCAGGCTCTCTTCCCCAGACAGTCCAAAAACTTTGTCGGCATTTGGCTTCCTCTCTCCCATTCTCACCTCTGGATTCAGCCCACACTTTCCACCCTTCCATTTGCCAACAATGCAGGAAAACTAGGGCTTCCTTACTAAGTGCTCGCCTACAGCATGCCCAGTACGGAGATGGTCATGTGGGCAGGGCAGGTGAGCAGCCTGCAGACACAAAGGGCAGGAAAGGCCACAAATCACTTGAGCATAAGGCGGTCTGTGGTAAATGCATGTAATTTGCACGCACTGGACACCTCAGCAGGTAGTCTGAGCAGGTAGTAACAAACCCCACTCACATTTTAATTCTCTGTGTTCCAGTCCAGCAGTTCATGTTACAGGATAAAAGACTCACTTCAGCTATGTCATAGGGTGGGCATTTATTGAGAGGAAATGCCAGACAGGCTCTCAGGAATGGCCTGGCCATCAGGCACTAAAAGGAATGGAACCTTGGACTAGGAAGTGTCCCAACCACTGCTACGTGGAGCTCACCAGGCCTCCAATTTCTTCCCAACTTGTTAGCTCCATGCTAATGCCCCATTTCTCCCCACGTTCCTCAACCCAAATCCCAGCGCAGGGGGTTCTTTGCTCCTCCCCTCATGTGTCACCAGGCTACCAGGAGAGTCACTAGCCTACCCAAGAACTGGCTCCCCTCAGGCACTGACTTCCTGGGAACCTTCTTGGTGGCCCTCATTCATCTTAACAGCCCCTGGGCATGTGCTTCCAGGGAGAAGACGTGAACTTACTGGATCATGGACAGGAATGTACCTGGAGCAGAAAGAAGGATGCTGACGACATGGTGTCTGCTCTCCACACTCCCTGAGGGTGGGGAGTGGGGATGGGGGCACCTCTTCTTCCAGGGGCCAGATCTGGCACAAAATGTCTGCTCAGGCAACCTCACTGCCTGGCATGCCCTCTCCCTAAGAACCACCAAACCTTCTTGATTTTCTCAGTCTTAATGTTTGAGAGTAACTACCCCTTCCAGGAAGCCCATGACCAGGGCATGCTCTTCAGCAGATTGGCACGAAGACAGAATGTGCCCTACTGGCAGCATTCTCATCAATGTCAAAAGTCTCAGGGATGAGTCCCTAGCTGGGAGACCTTTGGAAATAGAATAAAACTACATTTCCCAGAATCCCTTGAAGCTTGGAGTGGCCATATGACTAAACCCTAGCCAATGGGAAGTGATTGAATATGACAGGAGCAAATTCCAGTTGGGCCCACAGTGGGAATGGGTATACATTTAACTTCCACCCTTCTTGTTGAAGGGAATGTGAATGCAATGGGGTCATTGTAAACCTCATAATCAAGAGAGAAGGATCCAGAGCACCAGCAATTTAAACCACCATAACATACCCAAACTAGTATGGGAGAGAAAAATAAAATTTTCTCATGTTGAAGTTACTATATTTAGTATCTTGTTAAAGCAGCCTAACGTGTATCTTAGCTTGTACAGAGGGCCTTGGCCGGCCTGTGGGGATGTAGAAAGCGCCTCTTGTAACCCTTCCAAATAGTCCAGAATGGGCCTCAAAGAGAAAGATGTGCAGGGGCAGTGGAAGATAAATGGGGATATGAGATCCAGAGAAAAGAGAAGTGGATAACATAATCAAGTCATTTCTCTTCAGCATCTGCTGAGGTCACCACCTTCCTGGGTAAACTGGGGTTCACCCCTCCTCTCGCCACCTATTTTTCTTGAAGGACAGGAGGTTCGGAACCAGGTCATAGCAAGTCAGATGTGTCAGCACTGTTTTCACAGAGGCAGGCAGGATCCAGCACAGCCTTGTTTACAAAGCGCAGGCGGTCACAGACTCCCGCGGCCGCCTCCTCCTGAGGGTGGGCAATGCCGCAGGTCAGTTCAGGGGCGGAGCACCGGATGAAGTCCCAAACGTGGCTGCATCAGAGTCAATGAGCTTCCCACGGGGGAAAACCCTGGTCACCGGGAGACTCTGGCAGATGTCATCACCTGATCCCTAACTCTGGAGAACAGTCCGCCAGGCCCCCAAGCCTGGGGTAGCATCTCAAGGAGATCAGTGAGACTACGCATGGCTGGGAGCCCTGGCCCACCAAATGGATTATCTACAGGAGGGGACAGACCATGAAGGAGGGGAAACAGTTTTTCACTCTTGTCCAAGTGATGGGAAGAAAGACCCCCAAACACAGGTGGGGTCCTGTGTTCCAAGATGTGTCTTAGAAGTGAAGGTGCTGCTGTTAAGTTCAGAATGTCTGCCCCAGTCATGCAGCCCGCGGAGCAGCAGACACATGGCTTCTCCCTACCCCAAGCAGACACATGGCTTCTCCCTACCCATTTTCCAAAGGGGCCCTGGATCTCCATAGTCTCTCCCCAGTCTCCCTCTAGCCCAGGCACTAGCCTATACAGGAGGGCAGTCTCTAGGGGCCAGCCCTGCACTGTGGGGTAGCCGGGCATTATGTCTGTATTTGCCCAAATGGTGGATAGATACCTGCATTGTGTCCTTCTGAGAAGTCATCTCCACTGAATTCTCACCCGTGCGCAGCTTACGAAAACACCTCCTTCTGCAAGGGCAAGAGTGGACTCAGAGAGCCTCCTGTCTCCCTGCCTTCCCCAGTGCCCGTCACCCGCCCCACGTGCTTGTCTGCAGCCTGTTCACTGCACCGAGCAGAGGGGAGCATGGTGGTGAGCAGCGTACCTTGTCTTTCTTCCTCCCCAGTCCTTTCTTCAGCACAGACAGGGTGGAGATAAGGAAAGTAGAAAACTACAGCAAGATGGATTTAGAGATAATTCTAGAAAGGATTCTCAAATCTGGAATATGGGCAGGGAGGGGGATGGCCTAAGAGGTATGGAGCCTGTGAATTTGGTAGGAGGGACAAGGGGGAAAACAGAGAAGGATGAGGTAGCCCCATTCACCCTCCAGCTCTGGACCCACCTCCAGATGTAGCAGGCCCCCAGGCCCAACAGGAAGAAGAGGAGGCCAGCCAGCAGCAGCCCCAGGACCCAGACTAGCTGCTGGAACAGATGCAGGCGGTGCCGGGCTGCAACACAGGGGATGGCTCAGGGGGCAGCTATGGCTCCACGCCTCCAGTACCCCTTCCCAAGGGACATCCCCAAAGTGAAACCTTTTCTAACTTTCACTTTGTCTCAGGAGCTTCCCATACAAAGGAGCTTCAAGCAACCAGCCTAGGCTAGACAGACAAGCTGAAGCAACCCAGGGAAGACATCAGAAGGAAGCCTTTGGACCTGAGAGCTGGGCCTTGTGCAGAGTGGCCGGGGAGATGGAGCCCTCCCTCACCTCTGGTTCCGAAGTAGGTCGAGGCAGTGGCGGAGCCCAGGGCATTGGAGGCCAAGCACACGTATTCACCCTGGTCACTGGGCCTCAGCTCCTCGATGTTCACCCTCAAGGCATTGGGGGTGGCTGAGACATGGATGTGAGGCTGAGCCGGGGCACCTAGGGACTGGCTGGAGGCTACCACCCGACCACCGTGATGGAGGGTCAGGGTGGCTAGGGGCTCACTGTCCACTCGGCAGTCCAGGATGCCCTGGGTGCCACCCTCAGGCTCCACAAAGACCGTCATGGTGGGTGTCTTGGGAGGGTCTGTGGGAAGACAGGGAACGTGGTAGTTATCGAAAACAATCACAAATTCCTCCCTGTACAAAGTGACTTCGCTTCTCCCATTAGGAGCCTGTTTCCTCATTCCTTGAATCTGTGACTCGTTTTGACCGCTAGAAGGCAGAAGTGACACTGTGTGACTTCAAGGCTAGATCTAAGAGTCCTCGAAGCTTTTGCTCTCCTTGAAACACAAGAATGTGGGAAGCCCAGGCCAGCCTGTTGGACACATGTGGCCCAGCCAACAGCCAGCCTCAACAACCAGCCACGAGGGTGAAGCCATCCTAGACCGCGTAACCACAGTTCAGCCACTAGACACCTGCAGCCACGTGACGTGAGATCAGCAGAAGAACTGCCCAGCTGAGTCCAGCCCAAATCTCTGGCCCACAGAAATGTATGCAAATAAAATGGCTGTCTTTTTAAGCACTACATTTTGCTGTGGCTCGTTATGCAGCAATAGCTGCCTGAAACAGCATCAGGCCCTGGTGGAAAATGGAGTAGAGGACCAAGGCTGATGAGGGCCTATTGTGTGCCAGGAACGCTGCATGCTTTATCTCCTATATGTCTCACCAGGTGAGGGAACTGGTGTTTGCAGATGAGGAAGCCAAGGCACAGATGCACAAGATCACACGACACATCAATGGGAGTCCTTCCACACAGGACTCCACACCTGTGAAGTCCTTGCTCTTTGCAGGAGGAAGAGGAAGAAGGCCTGAGGCGGGCATGTGAGATGTGGGGAGACTGAGGTGGGGGGCATTTGTCATACTCACAGAGCACACGGAGCATGACTGGAGCAGAGGTGGTGGTCCCAGAGGGGAGCTCAGCCCGGCAGTGGTACACTCCGGCCTGGGCACGGGCCACGTGGGAAAAGGAAAGGGTGGGCACAGGCTCTGCATACAGTTGCTGGCCATTCCAGAACCAAGTGAAAGTGGAATTGACTATGAGCGTGGGGCCACCAGGAAGGTGGCAACTCAGGTTCAGTGCTGCACCTTCAGGCAGATCCAGGCCTGGCTCAGCCACCACACGCACACCTGAAGGCCGAGGACAAGGAGGTGGGTGGGGATCTGCAGGCCTGCAGGAGCCAGAGCCTCGGGTGGGATCCGAGGGGGGACCTCAGAGGCCCCCGTGCATTAGGATCTGACGGGATCTGGGCCCCTGAAGGTGGGACTCAGTCTTCCCTCATGAGACTGAGATCTCTGAGAACAGGGCTGCCTCTCGTCCTCACACAGGGACTTCCAGGGCAGGGATGTGTCCCCGCTTTCTCATCAGCCCAGAGTTCTGAGGGATAAGGCTATGTCCCAACTGCAGATTGGACTCCCCAAGGGAGAGGCTGCACCTTCTCCCTCAGACTGGACTCGCTGAGGGTAGGGCTCTGTCTCTCTTCCCACCCCAGGTTTCCCTGGGGCAGGTCTGCGCACCACCCCCTGACTGGGCTCTGTGAGGGTAGGGCTATGTCTCCCCTGCACCCAAGCTCCCCTTGGGCACTGCTACACCTCCACCCTTGTAGGAAGCTCTCCATGGGCAAGGTTGTCCCTCCCCTTCAAGATGGGCAACGTCCTCCAGTGGGGACGTATTTCTCTTCCAACAGATCAGGGTTATATCTACCCCCTCAGGCCAGCCAACCCCCCCCCCCACATGGGCTCTGCAACCCCACAGCCCCTGAGTCCCTTCTTCCCCATCACCCACTCACTTTCTGCCTGTAGCTGCCCTGAGGTGCTGACTGAGCCCAGCAAGTTGTGGGCCGTGCAGACGTAGGTGTTCTCATCACCTAAGGGCTCCTCTTGCACCTTTAGCTGCAGGCTGTTACGAGCCACCTGGACAAGACTTGTCCCCGATGCCAAGCCATGGACTCCGTGGCTGGTAGCCAGTACCTTGCCGTCGTGGGACAGGGCTAGCTCAGCAGGTGGCTCACTGTCCACAGTGCATTGCACCACAGTCTTGGGGCTGGCCCTCGAGTCCCAGAAGAAGGACAAGACAGCGTCCCGAGGAGCATCTGAGGGTGGGGCATGGCACAGTTGGAGTCCTTGCTTGGAAATCCTGTACTGTCCATTGTCCACCCGCATGGCATTGGCGAGGCTGAAGCCTCTGGACAAACAGTCACTTCCTAGAAGTGCTGCCTTCTCAGGAGTCCTGTGGGCAGGCTCCTTCCGGCAGGGCTCTCAGGGACGTAGGGCCCCTTTCCTCATCACCCATGTCCTTCTTTCCCCCAAGCACCCATTCCCAGCCCCCTGTAATCCTGTGCCCACCCCCACTGAGACCTGAAAGTGCCCTCCACCACCCTGGCTACCCCCCTCCAAGGACCCCTGCTCACAGAGGATTTGCAGGGCTACAGGTCGGGAACTGCGTGTGCCCTGGGCATCTTGAACTTGGCAGGAGTAGGCTCCCGCGTGAGCCCCCATAGCTACCGGGAATGAGAGGGAAGCGGCTGGCCCTTCCTGCAGCCAACGGCCATTGTGATACCAGGTATAGAGGGTGGGTGAGATGGCAGCAGGGTCCTCACAGGTCACTGTGATGGAGGCCCCCTCGGGCACAGTGGCCGACGGAGCCAGGGTCACCTGCACACCTGTCCCAAGGAGGCGAGGGTCAGCCGGGCCCAGCCAGACACCACAGCTGATCCCACCCCTCATGAGATCGGAGCCCTGCCTCACCCTCTAGCCGCAATTCCAGGGATGTGTTGACCTGGCCCAGAGGACTACGGGCCAAGCAGCTATAGAGACCCTCATCGCTGGGTCTAGGCTCCCACAGCTCCAGGCGCAGGGTATTGGGCACGGAGGCTTCGCTCGAGGAGGCCAGGAGACGACCGGCATGGCTGAGGGCCAGCTGGGCGGGTGGGTTGCTGTCCACAGTGCACCGGATCAGGGCCAGCCGCCCACCACGACTCTCCAGGAAGTAGGTCAGGCGCAGGCTGCGGGGCGCATCTATGGGAGCACGCAAAGCATAGACAGAGTTCAGAGACTGCAGCCATGAGAAGGCCAGTTTGCAGGTATCATTCAAACCAGGAGGTCCTTGGCTTCCCTCCCCAAGGGCCTCCACTTGCCCAATCTGGGGCACTGCTGCTCTGCCCAGAGAGGACCCATCCCCAGAGCTCCCCGACTCTAACGCTCCTTGCGAAGCGCTCCATCAGCCGGCTGAGTCCCGGTACTGCATTCCCCGGTTGGACGCCTGTGGGGCTTCAGCCATGCCCTGATCTCTGTAGGCTGCTGTCATTCCTTCCAGCTCCACCCTGCCACCAACCACACTCACAGAGGACATCCAGGACGACAGGCCTGGAGAGGCGGGGTGCCTGGCCAGGGGTCACCACACCACAGTGGTAGGAGGCAGCATCTGTGGCTGTGACATTGGGCAGGTGGATGGCGTGGGCACCTGGGCGCTGCCGCCCATCCTGGTACCATGTGTAGGTGAGCTGGGCCAGGTGGGTGGTCCACACAAGGCAGGTCAGGTTCACCATTTGCCCCTCCTGCACGGTGGCCTTTGGCCACACCTGCACACTCACAGCTGGGGAGAGAAGGAGGGCATGGGGACACCAGTGAGGGTCATGAGGCCATGGAAAACAAGCCACCTGTCTCCATGAGGGAGGGGAGCCCCTTGGCCTCTGTGAGGCACAGGTGGCCCGCCTGTAAATGGGGCTCAGAGGCGGAGCTCGGTAAATGACTTATCATCTCTCAGTGGTCCCCCGCAGAGCCCTGTAGAGCCCTCCCTGACCCTGGGGGTGGGGGTGGGGCGGGCACCTGGGAGAACGCTGGCCTCCTCGGGCCTGCTGTGCTTCCTCCTTGAGCACCCCCTTTCTGCTCAGTTTTATCCAATGGACATACATGTCAAATTCTGGTTTTTACAAAAGCTCTTCCATGAGCATGGCTGGTGTGGCTCAGTTGGTTGGAGCGTCGACCCATGCACTGAAAAACTGTGGGTTTGATTCCCTTTCGCAGAACAGACCTAAGTTTTGCATCAGTCCCTGGTCAGGGCACTTGTGGGAGGCAACCAATCAAGGTTTCTCTCTCGCCTCAATGTTCCTCTCCCTCTCTGTCTCTCTCCCTTCCCCTCTCTCTAAAAGCAATGAAAAAATGTCCTTGAGTGAGGATTTAAAAAAAAAAAAAAAAGGCTCTTCCATGAAACCCAAGTTTGGAGCCTGCTGCCCTTAAGAAGGGTGGGCAGCATGGAGACCATCCTTATGCTCAGCCCTCTTGCCTGTGCCCTAGGCGTCCAGAGCCCTCTCCAACCTTCTCTCTTCTTAAGGGAGCCACCCATGCACATACTCACAACCCCACACTGACCCTGGGCATCAAAATTGGCTGAGGCTGAGGTCTGGCCTAGGGTGTTGCTGGCCTCGCAGGTGTAGACTCCCTCATCTTCCAGCGTTGCATTGTGGATCTCCAGGCGGAGTGTGTTGGGGGCCACAGCCACCTTTAGGCGGGGAGAGCTGCTCGCCAGTTCCCCCACACCTTGTAGAGTGGAGGCCACGATGTGGTCCCCACGGAGCAGTCGTAGCTGGGCCAAAGGGTCGCTATTCACTTGACACAGAAGATGACCCAGTCTCCCAGGACCAGTGTCCATCAGGCTGTTGAGCGTGGCCTCACGTGGGGCATCTACACAAAGTGGGGAGTAGTCAGGGTCTGGCCAGGTGGTCCCTCATCTAAGGCTCTCTCAGAGAGGTGGAGCCCACGTCCAGGGGCTCAGCATCCCCTCCCCCAGCCATGCCCTTGGCTCCCCCCCGACCCCCGGAGAAACATACAAAAGATGAGAGCACTTACAGGTCACATGGAGGCTGACGGGGGCAGCCAGGCTTGTGGTGGCTGAGTCTGGGGCCTGGGCTTGGCAGTGGTAGGCCCCGGCTTGGCTCAAAGTTATGGCTGCAAAGCGGAGCGTGGCCGAGGTTGATTCTTGGAGGGGCCGGCCATCTCGATACCAGCGATATGAGGTCCCTTCCAGGGCCTCTGTGGGTACCTTGCAGCTTAGGACCACGGCCTGGCCCTCCTGGAGCTCGGGTGATGGTGACACCTGGACCCAGGCTCCTGCAGGAGAAATCAAGAGCAAGGGAGGACCCTCCACCATATCCTCCCACAGTCTGGAACTGGGAGTTTGTCCACACCAAGACTGCATGACCTCGGCCGTGTGTCTCCAAGCCACAGCTCCCCCAGCCAGACCGCTGCAGACTCATCCCCATGCCTCCGTCTCCGGCTCCCAACTACCCAGCGTGGGTCTACCCCGGTGTTTACCACCCGCCACCTTGAGTTATGGCTTTGCTGTCAGTCACGTCTTGCTTACCAGAGGGTGAGCCTCTCAAGGGCCCGACCGACTTACACTATCTGCGACCCAATGCCAGGCACAATGCCTGCATGTGTTGGCTCTTGACAAATGTAGGTTTGACCCCATAAAGCACTAAAATGGGAGGAATTTAGGTCATGCCAAGGGCCATTGTGCTGAACTCAGCATGGGTCACCGAGGGCTTAGAAGGGGAAGCTAGCAGCTGTGTGATCTTTTTTCTCCAGCCTTCTCCGGCCCAGCTCTGCACCCAGGCCCCAGGTCATGGGACCCCAGGAACTGGGGACTGGGCAAAGGGCAACCCCTAGTACCCCTAGGTCTGAGGCAGGATGAGGCCAAGGGGCGGGCAGTGCGATGGAGGAACAGCTGGAGTGGTGCCTGAGAACGCAGGCGGTGCCTGGGAACAGAACCAAATTAGTCCCAAGCTGACAGGGCCACCTGCTAGTCATGTGATCGTGAGCAAGCCCCCAAAGCTCTGACCCTCGATTTCTCTGCGTATGAAATAAGTATTATACATAAAGAAAAGACGTATAGAACCAAAGCCCAAGGAAAATGTTCAAAAATTGATGTTTGCCACTGTGGGAGAAAAATTGTGTGTTTTTCTTTGGCCTTTGCACCATTATGCGTATTAACTTTCTTTTTTCCTGGCTTATTCTCATAGGGAGGAATTTTATAGAAGAATATGTAAATACATTCCTATGTATATGTATATGTATGTACCTACACATTTGTATACACATATTACACATGTATATGCATAATATATATCTATTAGGTTTTGTATGAGATACGTATTATCTAACAAAATTATATTACCACAAAAGAAGTTATCTGCCAGAAATTACTCCAACCAAGCAAGCTGCCTTGTGCAATTGCCACTGCCTCCTAGAGGCTGTGACAGTTACTACAGCTGAAAATACCTAACTGGAAACAAAGGGAGGGAGGCCTCCAGCGGGCTGGCTTGAAGCTGTCCAGAAACTGGCTGAAAAAGACCTCACATTTCTGCACTAAATCCGCATGGCCCAGCCCAAAACCTGGCCTGAGTGACCCCCAGAGCATCTGGTTCCACCACATCTTCAGAGGACGGACACTCACCTTGGACCTGGAAGAAGAGGGAGGTATTGGCTGCTCCGAGGACATTCGTGGCCTCACAGCGGTAGGTGCCAGAGTCCCCAAGGCCTAGGTCTCGGATCTCTAGCTTTAGAGAGTTGGCCATGGCCTTGGCCTGGAAGCGGCCATGTGATGGGAGCTGGGGTCCCAGGCTGGTGGCCAGGAGGTGCTCCCCACGGAACAGGGTCAGTTGGGCCAGTGGGCTACTATCCACAGTGCAGACGAACACAGCCATGTGGCCCTGGCCCATGTCCAGGAGAGCTGAGAGCTTTGGAGGGTCTGGGGGATCTGCAGGGACAGAGAGAAGCTCAGGCCACCCCCAGCCCGGCTCACCACATTCCAGCTGCCACATTGTGTCCCACTCTGCCTACAAACACACAGTCTAGGCACACCCTTCTCCATACCCAAAACCAGCCCCAGCCCGGGTCCTCCCAGACCGCCTCCTCAGCCCGCCAAGCGCCCAGCGCTGCTCATGCCCATCACCCACAGAGCACACTCAGGACGACGGGGGCGGAGAGCTGGGCACCAGCCTCGGAGAGGATGCGGCAGGCGTAGAGAGCAGCATCTGTTCTGGCCACGGGCAGCAACGTCAGGGTCTCCAGGGGGCCCTGGGTCCACAGTGCCCCATTCCGGAACCAAGAGAAGTTGGCAGGGCCACCATCGGCTCCCCGGTTCACATTGCAGGTCAGGTTGGCTCCAGTGCCCTCTGGCAGCGTGGGTGACGGTGTGATGACCAGGACAGTGGCTGGAGAGCAGGCAGCACAGGCCCGCTTGAGATAGGCCTCATTTTGACTGCTTCCCCCTAACCCTAGGGGCCAGCGGCCCAACCTCCCAGCCTGGAGTGGGCGGGAAGAAGACCCTCTGGAGTACCCACTGGACAGGATAAGAAGGCAAACTTCCACCGCTGAATAGGATGGTTTCACTGGACAGACCCTCTTCGGAGCTGGGGGTTGCAGAGGAACAGGGTCCCGAGTACTGGTCCCTGACCCTGTGCCACCATTCTCTGACCCAACTCACCCTGGGCATTGAAGGTCACTGAGGAGGAGGCGTTGCCCAGGGCGTTGTTGGCCTCACACAGGTACACGCCCTCATCCTCCAGCACCGGGTCACGTATCTCCACACGCAGAAGGTTAGGGGCTCTGTTGACCTTTATGTGCTCAGAACAGACCCCACAGCTGCTGCAGCCACCCCCTGATGGCAGGGAAAAGGCTACTACATGGCCTCTGTGGAGCAACTGCAGCTGGGCTGGGGGGTCACTGTCCACACGGCACTCAAGGAAGCCTCGACGACCAGACCCAACTTCTGCAGCACCGATGTCCAGCCAGGCGGTGAGCTTGGGCTGGCGTGGAGCATCTGGGGAGGAAGAGCATGGGAACTCAACCGCAGCCTCTACCGGGCCTCACAAGTCCGCTCACACTGGCTGGGATCCCAGGACACACCGACAAAGGCATGTGCCCAGAGCTGCCGCAGGACCTGTGCGCTGCCGCAGGACCTGTGCACTGCCTGAGGACAACCTAACCAGGGTGGGAGGAACTCAGCCCACGCGCCTCGTGCTAAACTATGCCCTAGTCCTGTATCGAGTCTTCCCAGAGGACGCATCATTTTCTAGCTTGGACAAAGGCACGTGTGGGCTAGCAGTCACTTGCCGAACTCCCATGTGCAGGGTGCCCTCATAGCAATCGCTGTGAGTCTTGCTCTCTGCTCCCTTTCTGTACCCCAAGGTCCTCCCTGCCTCTTATCTCTGATCTTCAAGCTGGCTCTATTTAGGATAATAGTTATGCTTGAAATGCCCTCTTTCTAGAGGCTTCTGGAGATGGATGGTCAAAGACAGCCATCAGCCAAGGCCTCCACGTGATCTCGCCCTGACACTAGAAAACATCTGAGAGGTGGCTGCTCTTCCTGACAGTCCCAGGACGTTGCTCCTGCTCATATCAGGGGAGGCTTTCTGGAAGCTGCGTGTGCCCTGAACATTGGTCAGCCCCTCAGGCTAATATGGAACATCCCCCGCTGATAAGACACAGTTCCTGTGCTGAGAGGTTCTGCCTTCATGTCTCTGGGAGCCTGTGAGGGCACAACTTATGGGGCATTTGCACGTATGTAGGAGTGTGGTGTCCCAGGGCCCAGCTCAGGAGGATGAAGCCTGGACGTGGTGCGCATGGTGGGTTTGAGGCTGGAGCAGAGGGCCCTGAGATGTCTGGGATTAGAGGATGGGGACATGGGGAGGTAGGAAAATCCTCAACCCTGTTCCCCATTTTCAGCCCTGGCCAGTGGCTGCCCTCTTGATCTAGACCCTGGGAAGGTCAGGGTCAGGAGGGCCTAGAGGAGGTAGGGATGGCTGGTGGACCCCAGTGGACTGATCGCCCCCCCGCCCAGGGGCCGGTGGGGGCGCTGCTCACAGAGCACAGTGAGGACGGCTGGCGAGGAGGGCCCACTGGCGCTGTGACCATCCTGCGCCCGGCAGTGGTATGAGCCGGCATCCGTGCTGGAGGCCGCAGGGAGCAGGAGGATGCTGCTGGGCCCCTCGAGGACCAGAGCTCCATTCAGGTACCAGGAGAAGCGGATGTCAGGTGTCTCGCTCAGGCCACTCTTGCAGCTCAGCGTCACCGACTGCCCTTCCACCACCTCTGCTGCTGGGCTGATGAGGAGGCGGGCTGCTAGCAGAAGAGGGAGAAAGGGAGGCTCAGCTCCCCTGCACATCTGTGGCTTCATGCCACCCACTGCAGGAAGCCCTCCAGCATCCTCCTTCCCCCACACAATTGTAGGAAGGTCTGGGCTTCATGTCATCAACTCCTTGAACCTTTTGACAATCAGGAGGGCTTGGCCTTGAATGTCCATCCTGATCTATTGATAGTAACTGGCTGCAGCATAGTTAAGAAGGATTCTGAGCTGAAACCCAACCTTATGTCAAAAACTTGGCTTGATCGATTAGCTATGTCTGCCATGGCTTCAGAAAAAGGGAAGGATACCACATGTACCATGCTCTGGAAGACCCTACTCTGTAGTGTCTGCTGCATCTGACTGCTACCTAGCAACAGAACCTGCCCTGAACTTTTGGTAAATAAGAAACAAACGAATGCACATGAAGGACGCTCCAAGTTCAGAGTCAGAATGTATACAAAAGCAATAATACAATTCATTTTTGCCTTGACTTCCGTGAACCTCCCACGTTGGGAATACTGTGTAGCCGGGTCCTTGACGTGATTTTTACTAACTAGCTAGTTCAGTCCCTCAGTTGAGCCCTCTGGACTCCTAGGAGGAAGAGGCCAGAGCAGACCCCCGCCTTGAGCTCCCTCCACCAGCCCCGGCGGCCATCTTACCATTGGCACGAAAGTCCAGGGTGGAGGACATGTTCCCATAGGAGTTGGTGGCTGTGCACGTGTATTCCCCGCTGTCAGCTTGCTCCAGATCTCGGATCTCCAGGCGCAGAAAGTTGGGGGCAGATGAGACACTGAAGCGTGGGTTGTGGTCATGCTTGCCAGAGGTGGAGGCCAGGACCAGTCCCCCGTGTGACAGCACCAGGGTGGCCACAGGCTCACTGACCACGGAGCAGTGGAGGATGCCCGTCAGCCCATCTTGTGTCTCCAGGAAGGCAGATAGGTCAGGGGCGAGGGGCGGGTCTGTGTAGAGAAGGGGCTGTCGCCCTCAGACAGGGGCACTCCCTGGATCTCCCTATATAGTCTACAACCCCTGAACCCCCTTTGTCCCATAATGCCTTGGGAGATGGAGGGTGACCCCAGCAGCTCCTGAGTGCCTGCTGAATACACTTTTGCCCCTGGGCTGGGCAAGTCAATCCTTGGTGGCAACCATGTGCGTGGGGATCAGGGACCCTATTTTAAAGACAGAGAAATTAGCAAAGAGACCTGGCAGTGGACATCACCTCAACCAAGCACTCAGAGTGAACACTACCAGCAATGGGACACACCAACATCACGCGCCTCCAGATGTGATGTGGTGAGACAGACACAGCATCTGTGCTGTTCCTGCCCAAGTTCCAGGCTCAATCTACCCCATCCAGACAAACGCAGACTGAGGGACATCCACACAACGGCTGGCCTGTACGCGTCGAGTATCAATGTCAAGAGGACAAGAAAGGACAAAGGAACTGTCCCAGATGAAAAGAGAATAAAGAGACATGACAAATGAATGCAGCTGGATCCCAAATTGGATCCTGGGCCAGAAAAAATAATTGTCATAAAGGACATTATTGGGTCAATTGGTATAACTTAAATATGGACTATAGGTTAGGTAATAGACTTGTATCAAAGTTAAATTTCCTGGCTGTGATCACTATACTGTGGTTATATATGAGAATGACCATAGAAAATACACGCTGATGCCCTGACTGGTGTGGTTCTGTGAATTGAGTGCCAGCCTACAAACCAAAAGGTCACAGGTTCAATTCCCAGTCAGGACACATACCTGGGTTACGGGGCAGGTGCCCCAGTTGAGGGCATGCAAGAGGCAACCAATTGATGTCTCTCTCGCACATTGATCTTTCTCTTCCTCTCTTTCTCCCTCCCTTCCCCTCTCTCTAAGAAGTAAATAAATAAAATCTTTTTTTTTTAAAGTAAGATAATACATACTGAGGAACTAAGGGGTAAAAGGTGTTATGCCTACAAATTTAGGAATGTAAATGGATAGAAGAATGGATGAGTAGATAGACGATAGATGGACAACATATATGTCGATGCACACCGATAGAGTATGCATGCACATATGTGTGTATAGCGTGTGTATGTATATGTGCTTACACAGAGGAAAATGTGCACACATGCAAGCACACATATTTGTGCATATGTGGACACATGTGTATGTGTACTTGTAGGTACACACATATGATATATATTTAAAAAGAGAAAGCATATGTACTTAAATGTTATCAAGTGGGGAATCTAAGTTAGAGGCACAGGATAATTCTTTGTACTGTTTTTGGAAGTTTGAATTTACTTCGAAATAAAGTTTTTTTAAATCGGAGGAACTGAGGCCCAAGAAGGTCAAATCCTTGCCAGGTGTGCACAGCTCCAGGCCACCCGGACCCAGAGCCCTAGCCCTCCTGCAGGGGCGGCACCCTTTGGCCCGGCTCCAGCAGCGTCCACCCCCGCCAGTCACTTACGGATGACCACCACGCTGACGGGCCCGGAGCGTTCTCTGCCCTGAGCATTCTGCACCTCGCAGAAGTAGAAGCCAGTGTCGGCCCTGGTAACCGAGCGCAGCTGGAGGGTACGGCTGTGGGCATCCTCCAGGAGGGCATGGTTCTTGTACCAGCTGTAGCGCAGCTCGCTGGGTGCTTCTTTAGGCACGTTGCAGGCCAGCGTCACTGTCTGGTTCTCCTGGATGGGGCCTGCTGGGCTCACCTGGACCTCAGCCACTGTGGGAGCAGCATCAGGCACACAGCGGGTACCCAGCTGACTTCCAGGTCCAATTCCTCAGAGTCCCAGCCACTCAGCCTAATATCTGCACAGTCTGCATCACGTCCCTTCTGCAGCAGAGCCTGCTGCATCCCTCTGCTGTTCACCGGGATCCTCCTGACATCCCACCTTGCCAGGGACATTTGTCATGTGTCTGGGGCAGGGCCGGGAACCCACATCTGCATCCCCTCAGACTCTGTGGCCTGGACCCTTTCCCCGCCCGCTGGGCAAGACCCAAGGTCACCCAGGACTCACTGAAGACGTGGAGGCTGACAGGGGGTGAGGTCGAGGAGCCCACGTCATTCTCAGCCTGGCAGGTGTAGACTCCAGCATCGTCCCAGCCTGCCTGGGACAACTGCAGCACATGACCCTGGGCTTTGAGGCGCGTCCCATCTTTGACCCACTGCAAAGAACTGACCGTGGGGTAGCTGCTGTTCACCTGGCAGGTGAGTGTGACCACATCGCCTGGACGAATGCTCCCCTTTGAGGGGTTGAGGAGGATCTCCACACCTTTAGGAGCATCTACATGGCACAACGGGGGTTATCAGGTAAGGTGCGGGGAGGGGAGGCAGGGGCAGGCACTCTTCTCTCCTCTTGCAACACTCCGCCCTAAGGAAGCCCCCCCAGATAAGTCATCCATCCCGCTAGTTCCTGTCCAGGGCTGCACTGCCCCCCACCCTGTGTTCCTGACCCCTTCCCTCATCACCAAGAGGCTGACAATGCAATGCTTGGCCTGGCGCCCTGCCCACACTGCCTCCCAGGGCTTTCTGTCTCATGATACTGTCCACTGCCTCCTGATCAACGGGGGGTCATGGGTACCACCACTGCTCATTTTGGTGGCCTGGTAACTGTTGGTAAGGGACTGAGCGTGCGCCAAAGGCCGAGTTCAATAAGCTCTGAGAATGGTTAATCCATTTGCAAGAAGGGTGCCAAAAATAGAAACAAACTGCATTTTTTTACATCTTGTTTCAAAGCCTCTTCTTGCTATGTGAGTACGCTAATAAAAGCTCACATTTTCAAGTACTTAATCTACATAGATATGAAAATGGAAGAAGGTAGTAGTTTTGACTGGTTAGTGCGTGCCAAGCACTCCTCTAATTTTCCTAACAATTCTATGAGGTAGGAACTAGTATTCATTGTTACCTCCCCTATACAGACAAGGAAATGGAGGCTCTAAGAGGCAACTCACTTGCCCAAAGTTCGCTCATCGAGTGGATGGTGGAGTCAGCCACCTGATGCCTGTGAACAGAGGTTGCTCTAGAAGGGGCTGCCTTGTTTTACTGTGATGGGAAGATGCTCAGTCAAGTGGGAACTCCAGGCCTGCCCCGCAGCCCCTTTGCCACGTCTTGGTGGTACCCTGACCACTGTGCATGTGATCAGCCTTTGGCAGGAAAGGGTTCCCTGACCCCACCCCAGCATCCTCCTGAGCTAGGCTAAATCTCAGGGTCCTTGTTGCCTGACCCCCAAGCCTCTGGCTTTTTGTCTCCCTTTCTGTGCCCAGCCTGGCCTCAGGGACAAGAGGTAAAAGGGGGCTGTTAAACAGGGCTCCCTATGCTTGGCAGTCTCTCTCCACCTGCCCCACGCAGGAGGTCAGAGTGCACCCAGCTTTGCCTCTGGGGCCAGGGCTCTCTTTCCATGGGCTGGAGAAGGAACTGGTTTCCACTGGGAAACCACAGATGTGTGCTCAGTAACAAGGGTGTGGCCCCCAGCACACTCACGCTGCACTTGGAGGTGAATCTCGCCCTTTGTCTTGTATTTGGCCACTGAGACCTGGCAGCTCAGGGTCCGGCCGTGGTCCTGCCAGGACAGGGACGTGCGGAGGATGAGCTGGTGGTTGATAGCCGTGGGCTCGAGCTTCTGAATGTGGGAGGCGACTGAGCGAGCAGGGTCCTGGCCCTGCCACTGCAGGCTGACAGGCTCTTGCTGGCACACGTAGGGAGTGGAGCAGTTGAAGTCCACATTCGCACCCTCGCGCAGCTCTGACGGTGAGGCAATGGTGGGCACGCTGGGCTTCTCTGAGGACAGAGAGAGGAGGCTCAGGACTCCCCTTCACCACACTTGAGACCTCCTGCCCTGCAAACCCCAGCTGAGGAGCTTCGAGGAGATGGACAGAATGCTTTCTACTCTCACCTACACGTAAGGTGAATGCATGGAGGACACAGGTTTGCGCCAGGCTGGGGCCGGGGTTGGGTTTAAGACAAGGGTTGGGACTGTGAGTCAGTGGGGCCAGAGGCAGCTTGGGAGTCCCTTCCGGGCAGTAACCAAGCTACCCTTTTCCTCACCTGTCACTATGACTGCAGTGCCTTTGACATCTAACCAGCGGTTGACTTCACTGATCTCGAAGCGGAAGTTATAAGAGCCCGAGTCCTGGGGACTCAAGTTCTTGAGCAGCAGGTTGCACACCCTTTCCTCGGTGTTCCCCACAAACTGGGCACGGCCGCGGAAGCGTTCTTCCACCAGGCTGGGGTTCCCCGAGTGGTGAACTACCTGCCGATTTCCCGAGTGGTCATAATACCAGATGGTTGTGATGCCTTGGAGCACCTGCACATTGGCAGGAAAACTGAAGACGCAGGGGATGATGAGGCAGGATCCCTTCACACCCTGCACAGAATCAGGACTGGAGACACTCCATAAGGCCAGGACTGAGGGAGGGTAGACAGACAAGAGAGTAATGCAGGCCTGATGTCACCACAGAGCCCTCTGAGGTGCCCTATAGAAGGTGCCCCAGGGAGGGTCATGGCTCCCCACCACTCCCTCCCCGTGTCTTCCCTTCAACCTCAGCAGCCAAACCTGTGACCAGTCTGCCAGGCCAGCCAGGGCTGGGCTCATAAAGGCCAGGCCTTGTGCGATGAGCAAGGCCAGTGAAGCTTACCGGATGAGACGGATGAGGCCAAGTGGAGAAGCTGAAGCAGGCGGCCCATAGCAGGTTCTTGCGCCGGTTCTGGTGCATAAGAGGGTGGTGTGCGCACCTCAGCCTCCGAGCCTGCTGAGAGTCCAGCCCTGTACCCTCACGCGCTATGCTGGCCAGCCCAGTGCAAGGGCAGGGCTGCCAAGAGCCTCCGGAGCAGCCACCAGCTAGGAGCCAGGAGCCCAAGTTCACAGCTTGGTCTTCACCCAGGGATGCCTTCCCTTGGTGGAATGCATCAGAAAGCCCTCTGTGTGTCCCTAAGCCCCACTCCAAGTTCTGCTTTCCCAGACCCTCAAGAACACTACCACAGAGCAGATGAACAGCTGTTTCGCCCTTTCCCTCCACTTCCCTGCCCCTCCCTGCCCACTCAAGCCAACAGGAACTGGAACCCAGAGAGGCCCAATGACTTATTCCAAGGCAAAGAGCAAGAATGGCAGTTTCTTACTTGAGACTCATCTCCCTACCTCTAGCCTTACAAGTTCTAAGTCATATGGAGCTTGAATGAGCATTTACCAAACTACTGTCCTTAAAAGCTACTCCCTTGCTCAAAAACCTTCTGTGGCTCCCCATTGCCCATGAGATGGAAGCCCAATACATCCCTAAAAGGTTCTCATTTCTTATCCCAGTTCTGCTCCCATTCCCTGCTCCCCCCACACCTTCCCTGGGAACATCACCATCTGCTCACAGGCTTTCTAGTTGACCAGCTACTTCCCCCCCACAGTTGCTCTTTTAAACTTTATTCAGTCTTCAAGGAGCAGCTTGAAGATGGCTTCTACCTGAAACTTCCCCTTGGAGTTTGCATACCCGCTCAGAGTCGTCTGTGCTTGGTACCTGGTGGGCACCTGAAACTGGGGACATGTGCCCTGCGGCCCAGGAGAGCCTCAGAGGTGTGGTCCTTGGGGGTTTAGAGTTGGTGATGGGGCAATTCTAGGTGCCACATGGGGCACAAGGGCCCTGCACAACACGTACCCCTACATACATGAGTTAATTGCCTACAGCATACCATGCATAAGAAGGAAAGGAACCCTCTGCCATGAAGTGCCCCCAATGAGGACGAGGGCTCTAAGGAGGGCGTATCCAGAGGGGAGAGAGGACAGAAACACATATAACTAAAACTATAAACCTGTTAGAAGGAAACATGGATGAAATTCTTCATGATCTGGGATCAGGCAATGATTTCTTAAGTATTACCCAAAAAATGTAAGGAACAGAAGAAAAGTAGATAATCAAACTTGATCAAAATTTAAAATTTGTGTGAATCAAAGAACACTATCAAGAGAGTAAAAACAGAATGCCACATGCCCTGGCTGGGTAGCTCATTAGGTTAGAGCATGGTCCTAATGAACCAAGGTTGTGGGTTCAGTCCCCATCAGGGCACATACAAGTATCAGCCAATGAATGCATCAATAAGTGGAGCAACAAGTCAATGTTTCTCTCTCTCAAATCAATCAATAAAAAAAATTTTTTTTTTAAAACCTCACAGAATGGGAAAAAAATATTTGCAAATCATGGGATTAGTATTATACATAAGGGATTAATATCTGGAACATATAAAGAACTCCTACTACTCAACAACAACAAACTCCAAACAACCCAAATTCAAAAATGGACTAAGGACCTGAATAGACATTTCTTTAAAGATGATATAAAATGGCCAATAAGCCCATGAAAAAACATTCAACATCATTAGTCATAAGAGAAATGCAAATCAAAACCACGAGCTACCACTTCACACACACTAGAATGGCTAACAAACAAAACCAAAAATTAACAAATTTTTGGAGAGGATATGGAAGAATTAGAAGCTTAGTGCACGCACTGCTGGTGGGAATGTAAAATGGTGCAGCTCCTGTGGAAAACCATTTGGTAGTTCTTCAAAACGCCAGACACAGCCCTGATGGGGTGTCTCAGTTCATTGGAGGGTCATCCTGTGCAGGTTCCATCCCCACTCAAGGCACATACCTAGGTCGCAGGTTTGCTCCCCTGTCAGGGCGCGTACGGGAGGCAGCCAGTCAATACTTCTCTCTCACATCGATGTTTTTCTCTCTCCGTATCTCTCTCTCTCTCTTTCTCCCCCTCCCTCCCTCCCTTCCTCTCTCTCTCTCTTCCTCTTCCTCTCTCTAAAATCAATAAACATGTCCTTGCGTGAGGATTTAAAAAATTCTTAAAACAGTAAATTTTACCACATACACATGAAAACCCATGTTGCCAACTTTGCAGTCCTCTCTTGTCCTAAATGCTGACTCTACAGAGTGAGGGGAAGGGCCTGGGGAGGCTGGAAGTGAGGAGAGGAAACTCATGACCACTCTCAGCCCCCAGCCCATCAGCCCAGCTGATTCCGGTGGTTACCGGGGGCCACACCTGGGGAGCACTGAGCAGACACCCCGGGCCTGGATGGAGGCAGCACTGCCCGTCAGGATGAGAGAACAGAGCTTGGCCAAGCGTGAAAGGAGGAGGGATGGCTTGCAGGGAGCCTATCAAAGCAAAGGCAAGGGCAGACCCAGAAGGGCACTGCCCCTTAGCAGACCCAGCCCCCTCTCTTGGGCTGCTCCAGCAAGAGCAGGTCCGGTCATTTCCTGAGACCCAGCGGCCCGTCCCCAAGTTCTTCGGGCAATATCAGGCCTGTTCTACCCTCCTGCTCCACACCTGATCTTTGGCCATAGGAAAGGCACATGCTGGCCCAGGCTGGGTCCCGTGACGTGGATGCTGGCCTGCAAGGTGGCCTACTGTGCATGTTTGGGGGCAGATATGGCCCTGGAGCCTGCAGCCACACCGGGTATCAGGGTCCAAGCCTCTACACCTAGGTCATCAGCAAGACAATACGTGTACATCTGGCCGATATCCCGCCCCGCCCCCCCGCCCCCCGCCCCTCGCTGTTCCCATTTGCGGCCCTGGAAAGGGCAATGCTGACCTTAATGGTGGAACTTTAGACATACTGATCCCAGAGGGGAACAGGGCTTTTTGGAATGTGAGAGAGGACCTTTTCTAGAACTACCCCAAATGACCCCATGCAGACGTCACAGCACTTAGCCCATCCTCAGTACTCAAGGGGTCAGTTTCACCAGAGCCCAGCTTAATAGCTCAGTCTGTTCCACCCGAAAGACCAGCCTCAACCCTGAGAACTGTCCTAGAAAAAGAAAGGGCACGAAGGACCCCAGAAAGGGAGACCCTTGTCTCTGTTTGAAAGTCTGGTATTGAAGGCTTGGGTTAAACTGTGTCCTAGTGTGTACCAGTGCCCCCTGGTGGTAGAGAAGTGATTGTGGGTCCTGGGGAAGCAGGTGGGCACATTGGGGGACAGTGAACGCCGCAGCCCCAAAACAACGTGCCCCTCAGACAACGACTGCTTGGGAGAACATTGATCCCCAGACCCCAGGAAGTCCTTGAGATTCATCCTTGTATCCTCAAGTCTTGGGCTCTCTGAAGACAGCTTTAAATCCCACTTCTGCCTAGAAATGGTATAGGCTGCACCAGGGTCGGGATGGAGTGGCCTGGCATGTCGTGGGCTCCCATGTCTGCTGTCCGCGTGACAGCAAGTGAGTAGGTAAAGCCTATGTGAGGCCAAGCGTCCCAGGACAGCTGGGGAGGGTGGTCTGGGACTCAGCCCCTGACCTCTGATCCCACAGCCAAGGCCAGCCTGGGGAGGAAAGGTCAGAGCAGTTTCACTGTAGGCAGCTGAGCAGGATTCAGTTTCTGTTTCCCAACATGGGGCTTCTCCCCAACTTCCTTCTCAGGCTGGAGAAGGAGGGAAATGGGGCGACACACCAGCTGGAGTGCTCTGCCCACGGATAGAAAATCAAGGTACAGCCTGGCAATTCCAGGAGTGCATTATGATAGCGGAAAGTCCCAAAGTTTCGGCCTGAGAGCCCTATCATCCATTAGTCAGGTCCACTGGCTTTGAAATTGGCAGTAGGAATTTGGCATTTTATTCTGGCTAACCTGGCTCTCAGCCTGAGCACCCATTCCTGAGCTTTGCGGAACAGACAGTGCTGGGACCCTGCACTCCAGCGAGCGACGAGGACCGGGGCAGGGCTGAGAGCGGGGGGGAGGGGAAGGTGGGTCGCGGTGAAGGTGGTGGTTAGGGTGTGGTTCGCGATGGAGTTGGGGTTGACCTGGAGGGGAGCGCGATGGGGCTGGGGTGACGGTAAAGGCCAAGGTTGTGGCTAGATGGAGATGATGGTGATGATTAGTGAATGGCTGGTGATGAGACACGACTGAGGGTGAGGTAAGGCTGGAACAGGGACCGGGGCGGGGCAGGATGGTGGTTAGAGTAGGGGCTGGGATTAGGATGCGGGTTGGGGAAGATTTGGAGCTGTGAAGGGGTTTAGGCTACGAGTGCAGCGTTGATTAGCATCTTGGGCTTGGGGTGATTTGGTGTCCAGCTCCCACACCCAGATGCACCCCCAGTCCACCACAGCCCAGCCCTGCTCCCAACCCTCCACTTGCCCTCCGGGGCCGGGGATGCGAGTACCTGTTCCACAGGGAAGTAGCTGCAAGGCAGGTGAACTGCAGGCGAAGAGAACTGGAAGGAAGTCCAGGAGCTTGTGGTGCTGCTGGTTCTCCAGGGCTCTGTCACCCTGAGAGAGGAGATCCAGCCTCAGGGGCTGCTTCCTCTTTCCCCACCCTCAGCCCTACCGCCCAGCCCAGAGGCTGGTAAGAGAGGCAGCTGCAGGCCTTATGCAACAGCAACACAGGAAAGACCTAGTTGGCCGGGAAGGTTCCTGGTACGGCTGGGCAAAGAGGGGACTTGAACAAGTAAAAGTGAGATCTGGGACCATGCTGAAACCTCCTCTCAGGCAAAGTGCGAAGTGGAAGCTTCTATTCACCCCTCTCTTGGGGGCCACTTGGACTTTTTAGGGAGTCTAGGAGTGGAAAGGAGCTTTCTGCACGCTGTTCCTCCTGACGAGGGCAGGAAGCAAGCCCAGCTTGGGGGAGGGGAGCTTCCCAGGGCATCCAGACCAAGGTTTTGATTCTTCCAGCCTTTTGGGAGCCTCCCAGTGCCCCTCTGTCACCTGGATACTTCGAGAAGAACCGCACGCCTCAAGGAACAGGCCCTAGTTGCTGGGAACAC